TATCGTACACTAGGAGGCTCACCCAGAGGAGGCTTCGGAGTATGGCCGATCAAGCATAAGCATCATATACCCTGTACAACATAGGCTATTAAATAGCCCTCTGGAATCTTGCTATTTATGATTATTAAACGTAGATTACCGATAAAACCGATTCCATAACCCCTAGGCTATTTTGCGAGACGAATCTAATGATGTATATTAATCTATAATTAGCGGCTGATTACTTTAGCATTACTGTAGCAAATCATGGATTAATATACTTCGTTAGATTCGTCTCGCAAAATAGCCTAGGGGTTATGGAATGGGTTTTGTCAGTAATCTACGTTTAATACTCTTAAATATCAAGATTTCGGAGGACTATTTAATAGCCCTCCGAATCTTAAACAGGGCCATAGTCTAGGGGACTTGCCTCAGCACCGGCACAAAACCCTCATCCAGCCTGATGGTCGATCGCGGCTTTCGACTTGTTACAACGGACGTGGACTCTAGCAACCCTAGTTCCACCACTACAAGGGAAGTGTGTAAGGGTAGCAGAAATTGTGGGAACAAGCGGAGTTAACCACACGATGGCAGTGGCAATCGAAGCTCATCAACTTAGGACCAGCGTGGTGATGATGAGCTCAAGGGAGAACGCCAAATCCAATAGGAGGAAGAAGGCTATATTGGTACAACTGTTGTATTTTTTAATGATGTTTTAACCTTTACAACCTGGTGTTACATGTGCGAGAAGCAGAATATTTGAACTGAAATTTGTCTTAGTTTTATACCTAAGTTCTTTTGTTTTAGAAATCTTTTTCGATGTTTCGGTCAGTGGAACCGGTCCAATGTTTTACGTTGCATGGAACAAAGTTGTTTATTTCTTCTTCTTTTTTCCCTTCCTAATGTTGCACTCACTTCTTCAGATGTTTCGTCCAACGTCCATCTATATATAAATATAATGTTGGTTTGTTGCACGCTTGTTTCTCATAGTAACTATTTTCAAATGTTTCAAATATTGGTTTTTTTGTTTCACAATTTACAGTTTGTTCTTTCACGTATAACTGAAACATTCAAGCGCCTGATGCCTAGTCTTGTAATCAAAATAAGTAAGTACTATGCAGGGATGCAGCCACCTGCAGATCCCAAATCGGCTCCGAGCTGCCGCTGCGGCGGATTCGCACCGCGCGAGCCAAGTTGCGCAGCGGCAACACCAGTTCAATTGCCAACACGCACTAGCTAGTGGTCGATCTGCCGCACCCCTAGCCAGATACGGATCGTGCGCTTGCATGCGTGCAGGAACGGCTTGTCCCTTACTGCTGACCAGCTGCCTTGCTACTAACCTCCCCGTAAGGGCACCCGCAATGGTTATCTATAGGCTCTCTACAAGAGATCCATGTCAACATATTTTCCTACTTGGAACAGATTAAATGAAGAAAGAGAGTAAAGCTATCTACTAATCTGGAGATAGTCTATAGAGAAAAACGAGGCAATAGATGAGAGAGCTATAGATACCTATGTAGACATACTATTGAGGTGGTTTACTATTAATCTAGTCTATTGCTGAGATGTATATATTTTATAGAGAGCAACTTACTTTACCATTGTGGGTGATCTAATAGTAATGACGTTCTATGTATCGGGCGCAGCTTAGATCGACAGGTGGTCTTGTGTAGCGTATATCCTGAAAACAATAAAATTGACAATGTATAAGCAGAGCATTAGGGCATTGCCGCTTTAATTGGTGATCCTAAACGGCCAAACCGCTCCTTTTCAACTCTGTAGAGGGAGTGCTTGCGATGGTCCAGATGATCAAGTTCTTGGAAGCCAGAAGTATATGCATATTCTAGCTAGCACTAAACAACTGCAGCGCCGTTGCACCACACGTTCGTCGCAAAGTTGGATTCCAATACGCCATGCTATGCCAAGATTCTCTTATTACACTATGGGTAACGTAGTTCCATAAAAATTGCTAGCTAAAATATTTTATGTGGTTTAACGCTAGTCAATAATAAATGGAAGTTGGGGATTTGTCCCATCACCTTATTTCTCATTTTGATTTATTTTTACCTTACATTTTTATTACTATTAAACTTATGGCTGTATGTCTTATGACAGAAGCCGGATATGTAATCTATTTCCATTATCTACCAAAATACGCCATGCTATGCCAATGAAGCAGTAGTAGTCCGCGCGAGGTTACTGGTTGTAGCCGAAATGATTAGGCGGGCGTCTAAAGTGCGCTGCCAGAAGCACTGCCAATGAGCGTGATGGAACTTTCAGCGTCAACTTGGCATGGCTTTTACGTCTGCACGCCCTCATTTCGCACAAGTCTTGCTCCGCCTTTATTCGATCCTGGCTCGATGATGGATCGACCTCCCAATAATGCGCACGTTCTCACCACATTCTCTCTCGAGAGCAGATTGTGGACAATTAAGTCCACTTTGACTCCCTTAAAAGTGATCCGAATTTAATCCATGACCCTAAATCGTAAAACCGGGTATGTCGACTCCCGAACTATTGAAACCGGTGTAATTTGACTCCCTTGGTGGTTTTGGAGGGCAGTTTTGGTGACGTGGTGGTGTTGACCTGGTCTATAGGGTTGACGTGGCGTTTAGGTGGCATTTGAATTAAAAACACATATGTGGGACCACATGTCATCATCTCTCTCTTTATTCTTCCTCCCCTCTTCCTCGCTTCTCTCTTTCTTTCTCTTTCTCTCCCCTTTGGCCAGCCGCGGGGACTGGAGCACGGCTGGAGCGGCGGGGGCTAGAGTGGTGGCGGTCGGCGGAAGCTGAAGCAGCAACGGCAGGCTGGAGCTGACGGCGGGTTCTAGAGCGGCTACGGGCAGCTTGATGACCGGCAAGGAGGCGGGAGAGGATAGCAGCGCCGACGCCGACGCCGATGACATCGAGCGGGGGGACGGCGGTCGACGGCACGGCACCTAAGCGCCCTAACCCCAGTCCTCACCTCCACCGGCACGGCGCCCTCACCGGGGAACGAGCTCCCTGCTCCCTCCGCTGCCTCCTGCCGTCCGTAATAACAAGATCCGGCACTCTGGCCTCTCAGCCGATTGCAACAACATGATCCGGGCATCCAGCATATGCGACAAGCTGACGACACGGCCGACATCGAGCCTGTCAAACTGGTTAGGGGCGAGGGCCGCCATCGAGCTACGCCATTCAGCATTGCAACGACGACGTCGTCAAGTCATTGCTCGAGCTCGCTGCGTGGCCGTCAACTCCCGCGCCAGCCCCATCATCGCCACCAACTCATCCCCCGTTGCGTCTCCTTCAACTAGTGCTGCTAAGGCCACAAGCATCACAAAAATCCAGAAATAAAATTGATTCATTTAGCAACTAACCAGAGATAAAATTGATTGTTAGCAGGTCGTTCACCATCCACTGAAGAATAGGATGAGTAGGCAGAGGGGAGCAATTAATTTTGTCTCGCTTGAACACGCCCAAGATGGCCACCCTCCCGGGGATACTTGTGCTTGCGTGTTGCGTCAAGCGGCACCGACCCGGACATCATGTCGGCGATGAGCTAGCTTAGGTCGCTGGTGAAGCAGTCGGCCTGCAGGGCGAGCGCCATCTGCCGCCGCTCCCACCGCCACCGCCGCTTCAGCTTCCGCCGCTCTGGCCCCCACCCGCCGCCGCTCCAGCCCGTGCTCCCTTGGCGGCCCGGCCGGCCAAAGGGGAGAGAGAGAAACAAAGAGAGAAGGGAGGAAGAAGAACGGGTCCCACATGTCAGTAGGCCCCACATTTTTTAATATATGAATGACAAACGGGTCCCACATATCCATTTTTAATTCAAATGGCACTTAAGCGCCACGTCAACCCCATAGACTAGGTCAACACCGCCACGTCAGCGCCACGTCACCGAAACCACCCTCCAAAACCGCCAAGGGAGTCAAATTGCACCGGTTTCGATAGTTCGGGGGTCAAGATATCCGGTTTTGTGGTTTAGGGTCATGGATTAGATTCGGGTCACTTTTAAGGGAGCCAAAGTGGACTTATTCCCTTTGCAGGCTGAGTGGACATCAGGACATGAGATCGTCTCGCAAACTTGCCATATGTATGTATAGCATCAACTGTGCCGTCGAGAGATAGGAAATTCAGGGGTGGTGGTGTTACGAGCACAGATGAAAGTTCTTGGAAAGCCTTACCTTGTACGGTTGTACCTACGAGGACCGTGATGCCTCCATCGCCGTGTACAAAGAGTACTGCTACACGTACTAAAATTTTCTTATAAAACTTTTACTAACAAATTTCTCAACCGTTTGATTTAACTAGATAGAAGTTACAAGAAATCTAGATTTACTCACAGCTTGACATATCAGAGTTTGTAAATATTTTGTAAGAAAAATTTAGTACGTATAGATTTTTCCGTGTACAAATACGGACGTTTTTTGGCCACTTAGCTTGGGCCGATGGCGACTACATCTCCGGAGAAGAACACTGAGTTGGGCTGAATCTAATCCAGAAATCTAGCCCAAAAGTATACATATAGGACAAGGCCCAAGAAAAGGCTTTTTCGGCGATAGGGATGATTGGAGCAAAATGGGACTCGAGGAACTACAAACTTGTCATCAGTAAGTCACAACTGTTTAGCCGTTTAGGCCACGAGAAAAATCAGATGAAAAAAAAAAACAGCCACGGAACCTTTTATTCACTCATGACCAGCAATACTTTCTTCACGCATTGAGTGCAACAATTATGATACAAAACAGACCATTTCTTTCCCTAACAATGCATCAAAACACTACACTGCAGCCTCCAAATTTATCCCAAAATCTCAGCTAAAGAAGCTAGTATCTACTACCTCCGTCCCAAAATAAGTGCAGCCATAGATATGCGTACTCAGCGTTTTGACCATCCGTCTGTTTGAAAAATTTATAAAAAATATTTAAAAATTAGTCACACATAAAGTACTATTCATGTTTTATCATCTAATAACAATAAAAATACTAATCATAATCTTTTTTCAAATAAGACGAACGGTCAAATGTTGGACATGAACAGTGTTAAAACTGGACTTATTTTGGGACGGAGAGAGTAGCTAGCTAAACGCCCGGCTAGGCGGCTACTCTACCAGTACTGCTACAACCACCATGTCTAGGCTGATGTGCTGCTTGCTACTGCTGCTACTCCTCCGCGTTCATCTTCGGGGTCTTCATCTCCCAGGCGTCCAGGTTGGTGACCTTGACGTCCGACTCGCCGTTGTTGAAGACGAAGAGGTGCGCGTCGTCGCCGACGGCTTTCCTCGGGTACACCCTCGTCAGGATGCACGTCTTGCCGCGCGCCCCGAAGCTCTCCACCACGGAGTGATCGATCTGATGCACAAATATATATATAGTTCATCAAAAGCAGAGTCGATCGATCAGTGTTTATGCCAAGAGATTAAATCCACTGTTGCTGAACACAAAGATCGAGGTCGATCGACGATCGTGCATGCGCACCAATGTCCGGAGGGCGATTTGTTTGTTCTTGGCGATGTCGACGTCGACGAAGCCGGCGAAGGTCGGCCTGTAGATCTTCGACTCGTACGATGACCTGTTTATTTACGTGATCAATCCATTGGGCGAACGATCCATCAGTTATGTTCAGTGACGTCAGCAAATTAAGGATTGAGATCTGAACACGGGAAGCACGGAACGCACCTGGTAGGGTCGTTGCACATGAGGACGACGTGCGAGGAGTCGTTGGCCTTGAACACCCTGAAGAAGACGGCCGTCCTCTCCTTGAGGTCGCCGGAGGCCAGCGCCCACAGCCCGAACGGCCCCACGCCGCCGTCGACGTCCGAGCCGAGCTTCTTGCACAGCGCCTCCGCGTCCGTCCGCCACGCCGGGTCGAACTCCTCCGCCTTGCTCAGGTCCTTGATCGCGAACGCCATATCCACATCCGACTGCACTTGCAGAGATGATCGATGCGCGCACGCAACATCCATGTCAGTGTACCGGGTAGATTGCAGGTGTGGCTAGTGTATGTTGCTATGTGCACCACTGACCTGCACGGACTTGAAGCCGGTGACCTCGAAGTAGTTGCCCTTCTTGATGACCTTGTCAGTGACATTGACGTGCTTGGCTCGCAGCGCCTTGAGCTCCTCCACCGGCCACTGCACCAGCTGCTTCCCGTCCGCCGACAGCCAGAGCTTCCTCGGTATCGCCTGAGAGAGAGCCAGCAAAAGCATCGTCAGTCATGAAAACGGAGGCAACGTACGTGTGCAGGCAGGCCCACGCGATGCTGACCTGGATGCCGGCCCAGCCCTTTCGGCGGTCGTCGGGTACGGTGTCGGACTCGTTGGCCCAGCCCCAGACGATGCGGCGGCGCTTGGCCGGGTCGTAGAACGACTTGGATGCGTAGAAGTCGCCGTAGTCGTAGCGGAGGCCGTAGTCGTTGTCGGGGAAGGCGGCGTCGGGGACGTACCGGTCGGTGGCGTGGTCGTACCAGCCGACGGTGTAGTACTCGTACCGCGTCAGGTCGAGGCTCACCTTGAGCACGTACTTGACCTCCTCCGCCACGGCGGCGTCGTGCAGCTCGGCGGTGTCGACGCCGCGGCGGTAGTGGCGGCTCCCGCCCGCCACAGCGACGGGGAAGAAGTCCGGGCACTCCCACATCCCGGTGTGCGCCGAGTGCAGCGGGTGGTGCGCCTTGACCCACTTCTTGAAGTCCCGGCTCCGGTACAGCACGGCGAGCCCCTTCATGTTCACCTTGCTGCCGACGAGGAGCCGCCAGTGGCCGTCGGGCCCGTACCAGGCGGTGGTCGGGTCGCGGAACGCGCTGGCGTTGATGCCGCCGTCCGGGTTGATGATGGGGTTGTAGTCGGGCTTGTACCACTCGCGGAGGTACGGGTCGGAGAGGTTCACCGGGTAGGCGACGTTCTGGACCTGCCGCTCGTCGGGGTCGATGCCGGTGTACATGATCACCGGCACGCCGCTGGGGAGCACGGTGGCGGAGCCCGACCAGCAGCCCTTCTCGTCGAACGTCTTGGACGGGTAGATCCCCGGCTCCAGCGCCGTCCAGTCGATCAGGTCCGTCGAAACCGAGTGCGCCCACTCGATGTTCCCCCACACGGCGCCCTTGGGGTTGTACTGGTAGAACAGATGGTACAAGCCCTTATAGTACATCGGACCTGCACCGTGACACGTATACCATGTCATCCAATGCACATTAGTGTACGTAGGAGTACTTCGTGCCATACGCGAACAAATTTTCAGCTAGTTTTTACGGCCGTGTGATTAGCCGTTTACGTACCGTTCGGATCTGGTCATCGTGTACGGAGGAGGAAACAGATAGGAGAGAATAACACGAAGTTAGTATTATATCGATCAAAGAGGACAACGCAAATCGATCATCGTACGTACCGTTGATCCAGTGCTTGGGTGGTTGGAAGTGGTACCCGGTCCGGAGCTTCCCGTCGACGTGCTTCGCCTCCAGCGACTGGAGCTCCGGGTAGACGACGTGCGACGCGCGCACCACCACCACTGCCGCCATCTGCAGCAGAGCCACAAACACCAGCGCGGCCCTCGCCCTCGCCGTCGCCATTTCCACTAACACACTACTTACCTCGCTTAGTGAGACCCAGTTAGGACTCGGATGATCAATGATATAGTGAGGTGAATGGTACTATTTTATAGGGGCTTCTAGCTTGCCTAGCTTCTTCTCATCTCGGCGCGGCGGCTGCGTCCGCGCGCGACGTTCTTTCCGTTTTCCGTTTGCCACGAATTCAGGACAGTTTTGGCGTGCCACGTAGTCTTATCTCTAGTGCAAGAGCGGCACGCGCGCGCGCGAGAGAGATCGGTCGATCAGATCGCGCACGCTTCGTTCTCCCCTATCCGCCCCCGCTGACTCGCTCTCGATCGATCGGCGCCGCGCGATCTCGCCGTCTCGTCTCTCGCCATCGCAGATATATATAGCTCGCGCCCACCCGCGTGCGGGCGCTCTGCTAGCCGCCACGTGAACCGCCGCGCGCGCGACGCCCGTCCGTCCGTTTGTCCATGGCGCCACCACCACCGCCACCACCGCTGCACTGCTACAAAGCCCCCGAGGAGCAGCGGCTCGGGCCGCGCCCCGCCACACAATCAAGGCCCCCGCCGCACCTCCTCCCGTACTCCGGCGGCCTCGACCTCCTCACGGAGGCACTTGGGGCCGAGAGCTTCGATCCGGACGACGACGACGACGCCACCGCCGCCTCCCCCGCCATGGAGGACGTCGGCGCCGCCGTCGCCGCGGTCGACTTTCTGGCCCCGCCGTGCAAGAGGCCGCACCACGTCCTCCTCAGCAGCAGCAGCGAAGGCGTAGGCCACGACGACGACGACAACCAGCACGCCGTGATGGTGCTGAGGAGGACGAGGAGCGGGAGGGCGTTCCCGCCGCCGATATCGGTGATCGGCAAGGGCGGGCGGCCGTGGCTGAGCCTCCGGGCGCACCGGGAGGCCGGCCGGCTCGTGCTGCGGGAGATGCGGCTGCCGTCGCAGGAGTTGCTGCAGCCGTGCAAGGAGGACGGCAGGTTCAAGCTGCTCATCCACCCGGAGGCCGGCCGCCGTAGTGGCGGCGCCGGCGCGGGGCCACGCGTAGGATCAGGAAGGGAAGGACACGGCGCCCTCGAGTCTTGATCAGTAGATCAGACAGAATTTTCCTTTTCTTTGGTCTTTAGAGCACCGTAAATTCTTCCTCTCCTTCCTGCGATAATGTGCATGATCTTGCCGTTAATCAATACATGCATTGGCTTGCAGCTTAATCTCCGATCTGTTCAAATGCGTCTCGTGCCTGCATGCTTGTTCCGATCTAGTATTCCATTGCATGAGAATTCCAGACACGGCTGCGCGGAGAACTGTTCAGTTTTGGTTTCTGCAAGATAACGCGCGGAATCACAAGGAAGAAACAGAACAAAGCGAATTTTTTTTAACGAAGTTTTATTAATAGAGCAGAAAAAAATTACAATCCTAGAGGATCGTAACTAGAAAAAAAATTACAAGATTACAATACCAGAGGATTTAAAAGATTACAATACCGGAGGATCGTAACCTGAAAAAAAAATATAAGATTACAAAGCGAAAATTTTGGTTGAACACGGAATCAACTAACTTGATCCCCTCACGGGTGATCTCTCTAACAAACAGTATAAATCACACGCACGTGAGCTTAAGTTGGGCTTTTGAGGTTTGACAAAATAAAACTCACATGGTGACATGGACATGAAGAAAGGAACTGGTCACATATGTTCTAATATCTGGATCCATTTCAGTTGACAATTCTTCACAATTTACAAATATCTAGACCTCACACTCTTTTAACACACAGTGGGAAACAGAAAATGTGCATTAGCTCACATGTGCCAAAGCTTATTGTTTAAAACTTTATAGTATAGTTTTGTTTCGAAAATGAAAATTATATATAGCATCCAAACAGCCCCTTAATCTGTACCATTAGACATTCACTTCTTTTTTCTCACCGTTTCAACATTAATTAGGAGTATTTCGAAAACTGAAATCATTTGAGCCGAAGGCTAACATGGAGGTAGTTAGCAGTAACCTTGAAGATAACTTCTGGGACCCACCTGGCATTGACTGTGACAGCACCGAGCCGTTTTACTCGGTAGCCTCTTGTTCCCGCACAACTCGCATCGCATGCCACGCCTCTCTGCTCCCGCACGGCGCCGCGCTGCGAGCTCTCGCCACGGCCATGGCGACACCGACACCGATGCCTCACACTCCCATCTCCTCGCAAACCCTAACGTTAGCCCCACACGTCTCGCGGCGGAGATGCGGAGGCAGTGTCCGCGCCCGGACCCTAGCTCTGCCCGCAACGCCGGCGTCGGCGTGCTCCTTCCGCCTCCGCGCCACGGCGGCGCGCGACTCCCCGCTGCCATCGCTGTTCGACGAGGCGTTCCCCTTCGTCGCCGTGGAGTGGAAGACCATAGTGAAGGGGTGGGCGTGCGCGGCCGCGGCCGTGTACTGCCTCTCGCGCGCGGTGCCCGCCGCGGGGCGGCTGCCGCGAGCGCTCGCGGCCTGCGGGGGCGGGGCCGCGGAGGCGTTCAAGGGCGGGTTCGCGCTCGCGGGACTCGCCGCTGCGCGCTCGGCCGCGGCGTACGTGCAGCAGGCGTTGCTCTGGGAGGCGGCGCTCCGGGCGGCGGGGCGGCTGCGGGAGCGCGCGTTCGAGGGGGTGCTTGCGCGTGACCTCGCGTTCTTCGAGGGCAGTGGAGGACTGTCCGCGGGAGACATCGCGCACCGGATCACCGACGAGGCGGACGACGTCGCGGACGCCGTGTACTCTGTCCTCAATGTGAGGTTCCTTGAGACTAACATTTTCCTTTGCTGCGAGTGACTCGTCTGAGTTGAGCGATAACCGTTTGTGGAAATGCCTGCATGAGGTTCTAGTATGTTGACATGTTTCTAGATCTAGATGAGCATCAATCTGATCAAATGTGGATTAGCTGTCTGTGGGAATGCCTTCTCATTAGTCAGCATAATTGTTGATTTTGTCACTGTTCCTTTCTACCTCCTTAAAATGCCTATACCCATGGAGTAATGGATCTTGTTTACTAGCTTCAGGGTTTAGGTGTAATTCAAGGCATCCTGCAGAATTGCTGATGAAGTGATTACATTGACAATTGGTAGGCCTCCAAAAATGGATTCTAATTACTCTTTTCCTTTTGACACAGACTATTGTGCCAACAAGCTTGCAGTTGATAGCTATGGGACATCAAATGGTGACAATCAATCCCCTGCTCTCAGTGGTTGCCGCAACGGTAACATCTGAACAGATCTCACACCTTATACAGTTATAGTGCCATCCTTTTGTAGTTGCTTCAATGTATACTGTTTAATTCTCTCTACATTACATATGCAGGTAATTCCATGTATGTGGCTTGTCATTGCAAGTCTTGGCAGAAGACTCCGCCAAATATCCAAAGAGGCTCACATTAGTCTTGCCATGCTTACAGTCTATCTCAATGATGTATGGTATTTCATTTTCTATTATTCAGTGATGTCTGTAGTCCTACAGAGTTTGTTTTTTAAATGAATTTCCTTTTAGGTACTTCCATCGATGCTCACTGTGAAGGCAAACAATGGTGAGGGCAAGGAGATATCGAGATTTCAAAATTTAGTTATTGTTGATCTAAAGAATAATCTAAGTAAGAAGAAGATGAAGGCTTTCATACCTCAGGTTGTTCGAACAACTTACATCGGAGGCCTGTTAGTGCTCTGTGCTGGGTCAATAGCAGTTTCAGGCACCTTCTTTGATGGTGAGGGCTTTCTTTCTTTCCTGACAGCACTTACTCTAGCTATTGAGCCTATTCAGGTAATCCTACCGGACATTTAGTTTAAATAAATTATTATTACCATATATGTCATGGGCATTGAGGCAAGAGGCCAAGGCCCAAGGGCAAGGTTGAGGGAACGGTATCCTCTCCTTGTAGACGGTACGGTACGGAAGGGCTAGATTGTGTCCTTCCCTCCATCAACGATGGATTGTATCGTCATTTGGATCAAGCAATGAATCAGCATTAGTCTCCCGTCTCCCCCAACCTAAGTCTACATCTCATCGCTAGCAATCGTCGCCGCCCGGCTATCCTCCTGGCGGTGTTTACCCCATAAAAACCCTAGACCTTAACATATATGTCATCTTCTGGCCAATTTTTTAATCTTTTGCGATAAGTAGCACTTCCCTATATCCAAAATTAGAAAATAAATGTAAGAGTGGATGAATAAATATGAAGTATGTTTATTGGATACATTGACAATATCCATGGAATTTGTGTACAACTATTTACATATTTCCTCTGTATTCCATGTCAGTACAAGTTCAACATTTTCCCTGGACCTAATTTCTCACATCCAGAGGAATAATCGAAGTGTCATTGCAATTAAATATGTAAAAACAGATTTTTAAGTTATTTCTTTCCCTGCGAATTTGAAGCATATTTCAATGTATTAATTTAGAAAGAATAAATACTAAACTTACATTTTTGTTAAGTAATGCTGTATGTTCTTTTAATCATGTGCCAATTCTGTTGGGTTTCGTGCACCATTTTTTTATATGGTAAACCATCTTGATTTAGTTCCTATTAGAATTTATTCTGTGCATAGGATTTTGGGAAGGCATACAATGAATATAAGCAAGGAGAACCAGCATTGGATCGCATATTTGATCTAACAAGGTTCATCCCTGAGGTACTTATTCTTTTGGGTAGGTCAATCACAAAATTTCTAGTTATCTGAGAAAAATATTGCATTTTTCAAACACTGCTATCAAGGAAATGATTAAGGCACTGCTATTGGTTCTGTATGCCCTAATTCAAAGTCACTAATTGCTTCTTGTGTGCTGTAGGTGAGGGATAAAGCAACCGCTGTTCATTTAAAATATGTCAAGGGGGACATTAACTTCCATGATGTTACGTTTCAATATATTGATGGCATGCCGCCAATACTAGATGGCGTGAATCTTCATATCAGATCAGGAGAAACTATTGCTTTTGTTGGACCTTCAGGTGGAGGGAAAACTACTCTTGCCAAATTACTCCTTCGACTTTATCAACCACAAAGCGGTATCACACTGAACACCGGAATAGAATTTTCTAAATTGTCCTGCTACATGTTGCTGCCTTTTACCACAAATTCAAGTGTTCAACAGACAGCACTCCTGTTCTCTTGGCTATTTAAATTGTGTCATTATCTTCTAAGCTGCTGTTGGTTTGCTTGCATCTTAGGATATATACTTCTGGACAACTGTGATATCCGGGACATTCAATTACAATGCTTGAGAACACATATTGCATTTGTTTCACAGGATGCATTAAGTACTTATGTGCTATTTTCCCTCTTTGTTGTTGTATCCTCAAATGATGTTATTCTCCAAACAGGAACCATATTTTTTACATTTTAATTTGTCTTACATTTGCTAAACAGTAGCATCCTGGTCAGCTACAACTGAGGGTGAAAACGTAATATGTTCTATTTCCTTTGGTTGGTTTCTCTTGATGCAGTGCCTAATCATAAGTTTGAATTTCAACCATGGAGCTCTTGAACTTTTCTCCTCTTTTGTTACTTCCGTTTACATATCTCATCCATGGTGTTTAAAAGAACATCTTTGTTACCATTCACATATGCAACTATTGCACATATTTCAGATATATTTATGTTATGCATGCTGGAGCAACAACAGTTTGCAATATTAATGTATTACTGACTTCATTGTGTTTTTATAGATGCTGCTCTCTGGAACAATTGCTGAAAATATTGCTTATGGAGACCCCATGGGAGCTATTGATATGAGCAAGGTTGAAAGCGCTGCTAAGATTGCCAATGCTGAGGAGTTCATTAAGATGTTGCCAGGAGGATATAATTCATATGTAGGGCAAAAAGGTTCTAGCCTTAGTGGTGGGCAGAAACAAAGGTATATTGTATCACAAATTGTAACAAATGAAACATTTTACTCAGTAATCACACAATAGCTGGTATTTTTTTAACTGAAAATATTCTTCTTAACCTTTCACGGTAGCCGTGTCTTCTTCCTTTTTTCCCAGATTATCTATTGCAAGGGCGATCTATCAGAACTCCTCCGTACTGATATTGGATGAAGCAACATCAGCTTTGGATAGCAGGTCTGAGATACTAGTGAAAGAAGCATTGACGAATCTAATGGCAAACCACACTGTAAGAGTCGGTGTATCTCTTTCTCCACTTCTACGCATTCCCCTTCCAATTTTTTTCGGCAGGTGTCCTTACCGCCTCTGGGTGACTTGTTCAGGTTCTTGTCATTGCTCATCGGCTGGAAATGATCCTAATGGCTGATAGAATTGTCTTGTTGGAAGGTGGTAAATTGCGGGAGATCACAAAGTCATCTTTCTTGTCTCGAGATAGCCAGTTCAGCTCACCCCAAGGCAGCAGTCCGAAACTGGGTGAGGTTTAATGCAAAGGGCTTCTTTTACAAGATTTCTGCATTGTGCTTTCACTGTGAAGAAACGGAGTGACCTACTGACCCACATGATCTGGAGCACGGATCATTATCAATCCATCAGTTGACAATCACCAAACGCAGATGAACGCTTGGTGTCACACCAATTCATGGTGCTTGAGGTTGCAGCACACCTCGTTCGAGCAAAAAAGAAAAAAGGAAGAAGAAAGCTTCATTACTTTGCCAAAGACATCCACTGTTAACGTCTAGTTTTGCATGCACCATAACCGTACTATGTAAGAGGAACACATCAGTACACGGCCAAAATCGCCGCCTAAACAAACATGTATCAAATATGCATATGCTCTCTAGTATACAGTCCAACCCACCATGCAAAGCCGGTCAGCCGGTGTGGATGTTCATATTGTAAAACATTGCAGAGTCTGAACTTACAAATGCATTTAAAAATCGGTTCCCCTAGCAGTCCCGCGAGAACTGGTAGATCACCTCCATGGATACAGAGCAGATGAGGAACAACATGGCTTCAAGGCAAAGGGAGCAGCGGATCCATGATAGCAAGAAAAATCAATCCTTGAATACTGGGCAGCTCAAGCAACGGCTGAAACGGGCGCCTATCTGCTGTACTCAGCTATCCTGCTTCGGATGCCCTCAAGGAACGATCTAAAACCTGTGGCGCTAGCTACCAAAGAACCATCGACACTTTGATCCTCAATCAGGTATCTCTCGAATGCTGTAGTATCATCGTGTGCACCATGGATAAAGACAAGCTTGGGGGTTATATTCCTTTCTTGCTTCAATCTATCAATCTTGGATCTCAACAGACCTATAAATACCATCTCAGTTTTAGTGCATGCATGATATAGATAAATATCACTGATCATTAATAGTAACCTATCCATTCTTTTGTTTAAAAATTAAAAAAAAAACTAAAGAGAGTAAATACCATCCTTTAATGGATGTTCTGTGTTTCCAACACTAAATGAGAGTAATCATCCATCATCCTATACTTCATCAAATCTGATGTCACTGTGTCTATTCATTGGCCACTGTGATAATCCTTTGGGGGACTTGGACCAAACGTGAGTGGTTTAGGAAACAAACATATTTTAGTAAGGTGATAAGACAATTTAATTAATTGACAGTAATATTATGAGGCCAAGTCTAAAACATCAGTGCGGAGTGAAAAAAATTCAGCGAGTGAAAACAAGACTGCAACTGCCTTAAAAATAACTTATGTGGGATTGGAAGACTCACAGTCACGTGGAGGAGGGAAGGGGATTGTGCTACTGACTGTAGGTGAGTAATACACCAGAAGATCAGTGTAGGCATCAAGAAGGAATATCGGGCTCTCACTGTTGAATACACTTCGACTTAGTGACTGATGCACTTCTGCTTCTACATCAGGAGAAGAGTATGAAATCAATGTAGGACATATAGCTTGGCGAAGCGATGATGCCTCCAGTGCACTGTAAATAAAGAGATAATAAAGTAAGTCTATTTAGAGTACTACAAAATTTTTAGATAATAGGCCAAAGCTATGGCAATGACTCAGATAGGAAACAATGGTAACAAATCAAACATTTGAATTTTAAATGTTTCAATGAAATAATTGTGATCAGCAGTATATGGTAGAATGGAATTATCTATATACAATTTTATCGTCACCCAAGACTTGGTTCGAATGTCATGTACTATGCTGTCATATGCGGAAACATAAATACTTTGCCTACATGATAAGCACCCATGTTTACTATGAAATATGCCGTGACATAGATCCAAGCTATCTATATTCAAATATAACTCAGTATTACGGGAGTGGACAGGAATTTGAGAGAAGAAAAATCACAGCACAAGAAGATCATGAAATCCTATTGATTTTTTCTACATCATTCCAGTAATTCCATGGTGGAAAAATATATATTACCTGAAGAGGCATTGCAAATATGTCCGATAATCTGGATGAATACCTTGACCGTGAAGCTGAAGCAGTGGACTTAATAGAAAAGCAAATACAAGTCTTGACAGAGGTTGCAGTTGTGAGCAGTGTATGAAATCAACATCAATATCAGACATTCCAGTTCCACCAGATCTAACGACCTTGTATGCCTTGTTGTACTGGGCAATGAAATTCACCAACCAATCACGGAGCCATATCCTTGCCTCTAGCACATCACTTAACGAAGCCAAAATAACCTGGAAATTCAATCCTCAAATAATCTTTCCTTGGTAGCACCAACTTGCATTGTAGAATGTTATGTATCGATACAAAATAGGTTTGATGAACAACCTTTCCTCCTGTTTGTTTAGTCATCAAGCTTAAGCTTAAGGAGCTGAGCTAAGTTAGTTAGCTGGGAGGTCTGAGTGTACAAACATTACCCAAGTGGCCAAGTCCATGTCCTATTTATTCAAATCAGATTTAGGTGTCGCTCTTCTTAATGTCTAGTTCCCCCTAATTTGTCAGAAAGGGAAGATCTAGGTTAAGGATGCTAATGAAATCAGATAGTATGTCGCCTTTATAACTGCATTCGGTAAACAAGCTGATTTCAAGCATTAGTGTTAAGCTAGACTGCAATTCATTATGCTGTGAGTCAAATTTAGCTCACTTTTTGCACACAGACATGACACAACCTCACAGTGCACTTTGGAAACTAGTAATTCAAAACTTACTGGGATTGGATGAAGCTACGCCAAAACAGAAAGTACCAGACTGCCAGAGCATCAGCCATGTGCCAAGCTACAGACTGAGACAAGACACCCCAGGCTGAACATTTTAAAAAAAAATGGAACAAGACAAACCAGCCCTGACTGGTGTAGCCTAATCATACCTAAGCTTAGAAGCTTTAAATGAACATATAAATTTGCAGACATTTGGCTACATTACTGTAAAATCAATGTTCAATATAAATGCAGAGACATTGATCTTCAGACTTTTCTTGTAGCAATTGCAATTAAGCTAATCATAAGTTGTTATATAACCTGTAGCAAGTAGCAACAGATGGTTGATACAATCAAAATGATGGTAATATCATCATTTGATCATAGCACCCAGATGATACCACAACATTGTTCTAGAGTCTAGACAATGCATGCAGTTATACTACATAAAGATGTGGTAAAAACTTGCTTGCATTGATACAGATGACGCTGCTAGCTACTGGGTTGAATATTTGCAACAGGGTAACTGGCATGTTCTGAACTAAAGTGCTTATGCAAGCAGAGTATCCTTGCTCCACTAAGAGCATGTGTACTTGCACGTTACAACAAACATCTTATGCATTGAACTTGCATTAAAAATAATATGTGAAAAGAAAAGGTTGTACCTGGTGTACTAGTATAGTCAATACAACATCTGGATCAACAAAATCATACAGGTCCCAGATATTAGCAGTTATGTTGTACTGGATAGTCCGCACTCTTAGCCGCCTTTGCAAGGTGAACTTTGATCTGAACAATGTATTTAAGTTAAAAATATGTTATCATCCAGGTACAATGTGTACAGTATACTTGGGAGTTTATCTATAAAATTGTAGCTCGCACATCACATCTGCACACTAACAAGTAAAAGAAAACTTGCCAAGCAAGAAAAACAAACTTATACTAAAGAAAGATCACTGAAAAATTTACTGCAAACGCAGTATGGACATTTGCAAATGGCAAGAATAGTAACATTTTACAAATGGTCTATTGTATCTATGGTCACCAGATATTTCGTGAGATTTCAGTGGTTGTAACGTAATTGGTTAGTGGGGAAAAACCGGGCCAGATCGGCTAATACCGTAATTTGGTTGGAGCAGGCTGTTCCCAGCTTGCCAATGGTTGTAAAACTCTTAATTCTTCTCCTTAATACAATGATACACAAGCCTTTTGCGTACTCCCGAAAAAAAAAGCTGTAGGCAGTTACCTGCTGACAGAATTTGAGACATCATCAGAAGTATCACCCTGTTGCACAATCGTTGTGTACTTGAATGCAATTTGAAGTATAGGAGGGCTTGACTTCCTGCAGGTACAAAGATGATACTGTAAGGATGGTGAAGATACATTTAGAATGATAATTTAACTGTTTGGCTGAAGACTTGTACTGATTCGGTGATTCCACATTAAGGAAACAAATGGCCCTAACAATTAAACACGATACCTTAGCCTATAGTAAACTAATGGGTAACCAAATATAAGCTGAATACACAATACAGCAAGAATCAGAATAGATTGGGTTTAGATCCATTGGCGTCTTTATGCCAGAATATTTTGTTTTCAAATGCTAACTAGTAAGCAACTCCTCACTCATGCGTCATATCATATGATATTGACCACAATATTGCCACAACAAATAGAGAATGCTGTTACAAAAATCTATAACAAGTATTTATGGTGTTGACCACAAAATTACTACTCCCTCCGTTTCATATTATAAGACTTTCTAGCATTGCCCACATTCATATGGATGTTAATGAATCTAGATATATGGATATTAATGTGTCTAGATTCATTAACATCCATATGATATGAAACGGAGGAAGTACTACCTCCGTCACATAATATAGTAACCTAATATTAGATAGGACACATCCTAGGACTACGAATCTGGACAAGCTTGTCCAGATTCATGTCCTAGGATGTGTCCCATCCAGTACTAGCTTGTTATATTATGGGACAGAGGGAGTAATAAAAATCAATGCTGCAAATGGAACTTTCCATCTGCCACAGCAAAGGAAAGTGCCCAGTTACTTCCAGACAAAAACCATAACATACTAACACATGCAAAGCACATATTCAGGAAATGGTCGGGAAACAGAATGCCTTTTACCTGGAAAACTGAGAATCCTTTTGAAACTCAAAGTCATAGACGTAGGTAGCAAATGAGTCACAACAATTTATGTGCTGAACATGCATGTATTGAGGATCCGGAAAGAAATGGCCATACTGTTGAAAAAAAAAACAAAAATAAACAATATCAGCCACAAGAACATCTAAAAAAGACCTCAAATAACTGAATAAGGGGTTGCACATCCCTCATAATACTTACAGAATCAGCAATCTTGAACTCTGAAGATGTTCTCAAACGCAGCACACATCCGAAAGCATAAGGACGGCTTAGCATTTTGTATCTGCAAAATGAAGGATAAAACTCAATTGCTGCTTTGTAATATATAATAATCTACGCATATAAACAGTACATTGTACTTAGGCCATTCTGCGCATACATACAAATAGTTATAGTATGTGACATTCAGGGTACTGCAAAACCATCATTTAAATATTCATTAGGCTATTAAGGATTAGACAAGTCAGATATGATCCAGAACTTGAACAGAGAGGAATATTAGGATCAACTGTCAGGATACACTGAACATCAGAATTCTATCAATTTAACTGTTCTGCAAACAGAGAGAGAAGAAGAGTACAAGCATACATAAATCAAAACCTTGGGCTGTGGAAAATTTGAAGGACCTATGATCTTGAAGCAATAAAGTTGAACTGATGATTACATTGAGATACACAACTCAGATGATGAGCAAACTTACATATCTTGCGGAAGTGTTGATTCATCTGTACTTGAATACATGTACAATGAGCCACCGCTCTCAACACTAAGAACTTTCAAGGAAGAAAGATCTGTGTATTCATTTGTAATTGCAAAAAGGTCCACACATACACCTGCTTGAACAGCACTAGCAGCCTGTGATATGCCAATTAGGATATATTCTAGAATATTCTTGTAATTTATTGAGCAAAAATTACAGAGACTTACCAGATTTGTGTAGAAATTTGTCTGCTCGGAAATGAATGTATGGTCGGATCCCAGCATTTTAGCAGCATTATGGTCCACGTCACTTCTTGTTTCTATTTGGCCAGGCCCGTAATTCGGTGGACCAGACAAAAATGTGAATATCCTTGCTGTTTAAAATCAGGACAGAACATTATAGTAGAAGGCAAGGTCAATCGCCACCAAACATAGTACAGCCTTCAAAAAGAAGATAAGCCACAAATGAAACAATAGAATGATAGCGTAATCAAGATATCACATACCAAGTTCAAACAAACTTCCGTACTCTGTACATAGGTAGTTGACAACAGCATCCATTGCTAACCCAAAACCGCGGGCATGATGCAACGCGTGATCCTGGACTTCTGAGGCAGTTGCTGTTATTTCCCAGGAAGATGTTGGTTTAATTGTTTCAAGTGCTTCAGCAATGCGATCTTTGCACCCGTCGACCTGTTAAGACATAACTGACATAAGCATACGACAGATATGAATATTCTAGGAAGGGGCAGAAAGCACAGTAAAAGACAAAATCATAGATTAAAGGAATTGCGAATAAGGGCAAAACTACAATCAACAGCATGGTATACATACAGGAGCCAAAAAGGAACGAAGCGGCATGACATCTTCAAGGTCGACAAGTAAGGTACCATCAGAATCAGGAGGGATGAAAGCATTCTTCACAATCGGTATCGGACCTTGAACATCATATAAACCTATCTTGCTGCTAAATGTCAAAAGCCCAAACAATGATCCTGGAGGGATAGCTGCATGGGATCACAAGGATCAGTGCACACATAGTTGCACAGGAAGCTCATGAACTTTATGATGTCCACAATAGATTAGTACTAGCTCCTAAAAACTTGTGGCTGGATCTCACCTTCAAGAGCTGCTAGGAGAGCACTTTTGACTAGCTCCAAGAACTCCTCCGAAGCTAAAATACAATATGATTAAACAAATAAGATCTACAGAAAATGAGTCGGGAAGTCTAGAAAGATTGCAGCTGAAAGAAATCAATGTTATTTTCATGTAAATCTCAATACTCTTTCAATAGATACAGTGAGTCCAATTTAACTTATCACAGCAATAGGATTAAGATGGAATGATCAAATGAATTTGGATGCCATCCATCAAGGTATAATGCATATGCAAAAACCAACTCGATCAACTAAATGGATCCAGAACTTGACAGAACTGTTCACAGTAATCAACAAAATGTTGCAACGCTAATTTCCTTTTTTTTCTACAATTCAAGCATGCTTGCAAACACACATCCACACGTGTTACAAACAGGAACCATTGCTCATGTTGATCAATTACTAGACTAAATCCATGGCATGAGCATAGCAAGTTATTATGTTCAGTTCAAATTCACGTTCCTATGGCACCCCAAAAAAAAAGGGGCTCACATGCTGACTAGTGAGTAGTGACTATTAAGCAAGCTTCATGCATTTTATAGCCAACCACCTCTAAAACGTTTCGAGACGAAGGAATTTTGAGATCTTACAGGACAAGTCGATTGCCGCCACGTACACTGGCGTCGTCGTCGCCGCCTCTCCCTCTTCCCCTGCCGAGAGGAAAAAAAACATCAGCTCCTCATCATCACACGGCAACCACATTGCATTACATGAGAACATCGACAACTATGATCCATACCAGGGAGGAGGAGGTCCACGAAGGCGGAGCGCATCTCGGGCGGGTCCTGGCCGCCGTCGCGGGCGTACCGCGCGGAGGCGTCGGGGGTGAGGTCGTTGTCGGCGGAGCAGATGGCGCAGGACCACGACCAGCGGTGGAGCGGGCAGAGGGTGCTAAAGTAGGCGTAGCAGGAGTCGCAGCGCGGGAGGAGGTGGCCCTCGGCGCCGGTGGCGGGCGCCGCGCCGCGCTCGTCGGCGGCGGAGAAGGGCGTCACGGCGACGCCCCACGGGATGCCCGAGGACTCCTGGAGTGCCGCGTCGGAGGGGAAGCAGGCGAGGCTCGCGCGCACCGCCATTGCTGCTGCTGCGGCTGCTGCGGCCCCCCGCGCTGCAGCTTTGGGATGTGGATCTGTGGTTGTTGGCCGCGACCGCGAGAGGGATCTGAGGAGAAGAAGAGGAGGGAGGAAGAGGAAGCCGTGCAGCGCAGCGTGGAGTAACAGTTTACGGTGTGTACCGTGAGGCCATTCACAATGCATCTACATGGCATTTGGCCTCAACTGTCCAGCTAAGCAGATTGTATACGTGGAGAAGAAAAGAATGTGGGGCCCATATATTCACCAGCTCCGCGCGTCCTCATTTGGCGCTTTTTTAATCGCATTTGCACATGAGAAAGCAGGACACAGAGAGAGAAGGGGGAGAAGCTGACCCAAAAAAGTAAATTTTTGTGGTGGGGCCCACATGAGAAACAGTTTGGTGGGGTCCACCTAAAGACACGCGCCCACGCCGCATTGTGGAGAGAGGAGCTTCACGCTGTTTCTTCGTACGTGGCTGTTTAGGCTCCTCAGAAAAACACAACGCAGTGCTAATGCCCTGATGGTCCGTGTGACTCGCTCGTGTCGTGTCGGGCTGCTCTGCTGCTGCAGCAAAACGATCAGGAGCATCCAATGTTAATCGTACGGCGGCGATGTGGTACAAGTTGCAAGGATTAGCACACTGTTGTTGCTGATATCATTTTGCTACTGGGAGTATTTCTGTATTTTTGTCTATTTACAAGGTTGTCCAAGCGTGTTGTTTGTTGATGACTTAGGTGCTGTTTGGTTTCCAGGAACTTATTCCAAGTCCATGTCACATCGGATGTTTGGATACTAATTTGGAGTATTAAACATACACTAACTACAAAACACATTCCATATCCTTGGACTAATTCACGAGACGAATCTTTTGAGTCTAATTATGTCATGATTTTGACAATGTGATGCTACAATAAACTTTTTATAATTATAGATTAATTAGGCTTAAAAAATTCGTCTCGCGGATTAGCTCTCATTTATGAAATTAATTTTTTATTAGTCTATGTTTAATACTCCAAATTAGCGTCCAAACATCCGATGTGACATGGGCTAAAAAGTTTTAGCCCCATCTAAACACCCCCTAGTGTCAATTTTTTGTTGGGAACATTGGACACACACAAAAACACATTATAAATTACTTCATCTGTCACAGAAAAAACCAATTTTTGAAAAATCCGGATATGTATTTATCCAAATTCATTCTTACATGTTGTTTTTTAAAAACAGATGAAGTAGTTAAAACTATATAATTGAAGTGTTTGTAAAATCTAGTTTGTGAGATAAGACTCGGGCTTGACAAGCCTAACTCGGCAAAACGAAAACCCGTGTGACTTTTCACTCCTAGCGTCTTGGATGGCTTAGGGGCTGTTTGGTTTCCAGGGACTTATTCCAAGTCTCTGTCACATCGGATATTTGGACACTAATTTGGAGTATTAAACATACACTAATTACAAAACCTATTCCATAAGCTTGGACTAATTCGCGAGACGAATCTTTTGAGTCTAATTATGTCATGATTTTGACAATGTGATGCTACAGTAAACTTTTGATAATTATGGATTAATTAGGCTTAAAAAATCGTCTCGCGGATTAGCTCTCATTTATGAAATTAGTTTTTTTATTAGTCTATGTTTAATACTCTAAATTAGCGTTCAAACATCTGATGTGACTTGGGCTAAAAAGTTTTAGCCCCATCTAAACACCCCCTTAACTGAACCAGGAGTTTGGCTTGATTTGGACACTACAATGTTCAGAAGCATGAAGATGGACCTGCCACTCTACCGGAAGAGCAAGGAAAGAAGAGAGGATAGTAGAACATTGGCCCTGTTTGGAAGATTAGCTCAGAGCTAATTTTAAGAGCTAATGTTTAGTCATGAATTGGTAGGCTAAACATTAGCCTAAGGTAGCATGTTTGGATCCATGGGCTAATTCAAGGCTAAAAGGTAGAGAGAGAGTAGAAAGAGAGGAGAGAGAAGGAGAGAGAGCTGCTTTTTGATGGTCCCTACACAAAATTAGCCCCATTAGCATCTCTTGAAGGGGCTAATGTTTTGAGAGGAGCTAATTCACATTAGCTCAAAATTAGCCCACTTGTTTTGATTTCTGAGGGCTAATTTGAGGCTAAAAGTTGAGGGCTAAACATTAGCCCATGGAACTAAACGCGGCCATAGTAGAAGACAGGGTAGACAAGGAGGTAGTTTTCTCTTACACGTGAATCTACAAACATTTTGCACACTAGAGCAACTTAAACCAAATTAAACTCACATGTCACATGTACTCTGACCACTACTCTCCTAGATTTGTACATACATAACATTATACTCCACCGATCTAGATCTAATTACTTGTTCCTTAATTTCATTTAAGAGATCTGAGAAAATAATTAGGTTTCTACGGAGCTGAAACATCTCCATTACCACCGTAGTGGATTTATACTAGGAAATGGCGAAATGTTTGCTTCAAAATTCACTGAACAATGCGCCATTTTGATTTGAAATCAAAATATACCCTACCAAATTGTTAGCCATTCGAATAACACTTTGGCTAATGTTTGGTACGCTACCAAAATATACCAAATAACATATATAGCGTGCTTAGATTTGGAACTACCAAAATATGCTTAGATCTTAGCATTGCTAACATTTTGACATGATATCAAAGCAAACATGTCCTATATAACGAAATCTTGGCTTATTTAGGGGGACATGGCAAATAAATAGTTCAAAGATGGGTTGAATGGGCAACAATTGGAAATAGATGTATCAACTATAAAATCAATTCTTTTCCATAAATGACCGTCAGTTATTTCACTTCAGGTCTCGTGATTGCCGGATTCGAAGAATGCACACAATCTGAGCTTTTGTTCGAATGCAAACAGGCAATGGAAGGGTGCAAGCAATGCAGTTACTGTCAAATTCTCGGCTAACAAGCAAAGCCTTAAGCATCAGCATTCTCAAATTCTCAGCTCCTCAATGCGAAAGAATGAAAAGCGATTAAATTATCACAAAGTGGTAAAGAAAGAATAGTAATCGGTACAGATTACAATTGTTAGCCGTTGCCGAGCACAACAAGCAGCACAAACCAGAATCCAACATCAGCCGGGGGTAGACACGCGAATCGACCCAACACGACACGAATTGCTCCACAACTTTGGACATCACACACGATTCACAGCTATCCATCGCCGGATCCATCATGAGCAGATGGGGCAGCGGACGAGGCCGTTCTCGTTGCACTCGCCGCACTGGACCGTCTCCTTCCGCTCGCCGTCCACGCGCACCTTGCGGCTGCCGTTGCAGTCCCGGCACATGACGAACCGCACGCCGGCGCAGCCGGCGCACCAGACGCGCGCGCGCGGGAGGCCCTGCAGCAGCGCCTTCAGCTTGCCCTCCTCCTCCAGCTTGGTCACCTCCGCCGCGCCGCCGACGTGCCGGCCCCGGACGAACACCGCCGGCACGCGCACCTCCCGCCCGCCCAGCAGCAGCCGCAGCTCCTCGCGGTAGCCCGAGTCCATGGACACGTCCCGCTCGATCAACTTCACGTCGTGGGCCTCGATCGCCGCGCGCACCGCGTTGCACTCCTCGAACGTCCTGCGGATGCCGCGGAGGGTGGTGGTGTACAGGACGACCGCGTCGGCGCCGCCGGGCGGGCATTTCCCCTCGGCCACCATCGCCGGTGGCGCCGCCTTCGGGTGCTTGGGCTTCTCCGACCCGACCATCCGCTTGATGTGGGCGCCTTCCTCCGACAGCTCGCGCTCGATGGACGCCAGGAGCTCCGGGTCGAACAGCGGGCTCAGGCTCCGCCGCGACGACGACATTCCGCCGCCGGTCTCCGGCGGCCCGGGCTTCCGGACGATCCGAGCGCTCACCGGAGAGAATCTCTTGGACATCCTGGACAATTTCGAGTTGTCGATTGAATTGTACGGCCGGAGGACCCTGTCGACGTTGACGTCGCCGGTCTTGTTGATGTTGCTGCTGTTGTTGTTCCCGGAGCAGCGCTGCAGCGGGCTGTTCTCCTTCCCGGGCGTGTTCCTCCGCTTCGTCGCCGACTTCTTGGGCGACGGCAGGGCCATTGCGATGACCCTTGCCGGCGACCAACGACTCGGCTGCTTGGCCGGCTTCTTCGCCGGCGACGCATCCGCGGCGTCGGCGTCCTCCAGCCCGGCCATAATCTCCCAGGCGTTGATAACCTCCAATCCGGAGTCCAGCTTACCCGCCGGCGCCGGCTTCTTGGCGCTCGGGACCACGAGCGGCGGCGGCCTCGCGCGCTTCCACTCCCTGCTTATCGGCTTATCCTCCTGCGGCGGCTGAGCCTGAGTCTCCTGCACCTTTTCCTGGCACGCCACCGCCGCCGCCGCTGCTGCCGCCGCTGCCGCGGCAGCCGCAGCCCCGTGCTTGGGGTGGAGGTCGAGCACCCCGTAGGTGGTGGAGGTGAGGGACACCACATGGTCGACGCGGCCACGCACGGTGGCGCGCGCGCCGCTTCCCCCTCTCGCGTCGCCCGGCCCGGGCGGGAGCAGCTTCGAGGAGATGCACCCCATCTCGTCACGGCGACGGCGACAGCGACGGCGAGCAACCAACCACCTCTCTCTCGAAACGGCGGCGCTTTTCACTCTCTCGCTTTCTCGAGCCTTGACCAGAGTGGGCAACGTCTATGGCTTGACCGGCTCGGGGAGTAGTGGGGCGTTTTGTGGTGCGTTTTGAACGCCGTGTGAGTGACTGTGCGCGCAACGGTCACCAAGGAGAGGCCGAGACCGAGAGGGCGGTGCGTGACTGCGTGCCGTGGTGACGCTGGAGATTTGGGCTTTTGTTTTTAATTTTCTCGTGCGCTGCGCGGCGATGTTGGTAGCAATTCCAACGGTCGAATCCGGCAGATGGTTGGTGCCCGTGGCAGCGCAGAAGCCAGGAGGAGGAGGAAGGCCCGCAAGTCGAAAAAAGGTGGCGCGGCCCGTGTCAGAGTTGCCCCGCTGGATCGTACGGAGGCAAAGTGTTGGGCCAGTTTCTTTTTCTCAGTTATGGGCTTTTTTAGTCTCGCGTGCGAGCCCATAAAGTTTGCAACTTTTTAGTTTTTCAGATGTTTATATGCCTTTTTGATCTTTCAGATTAGTGCTTTAGTTTTTTTAATTGGATTTGCTTTAGTTGGATACCTGATTGGAAATTTGGAAGAGACCATCTCAAGAGAATTTGGTTGATGCATTGCAATGGTTCTACAGTGTAGAAAGTCCAGTGAGTGATTAATCTAGTCTAACATCGACGACAACACAAGGTACAAGGAGCAGCTTGCTCAATAAAGAAAAGTGTCACACATGCACAAGCAGAAGAAGATAAAGATGACTTTTTTCAGAGTTAACAACTGGATATTAGCACGGGAGATGCTGTTCCAAGTACTAAGAACGGATGGTTGTTTGCCTCGGGGACCGTGATCCGTCGATATACCAGATTCAGGCCGCCGAGACTGGTCCCTGCCCAGCCACTGCCATGGTCTCCGGCCACCGCCGTGAAGCAAGGCGCTTCATCTCTCCCAGCCCAACCGCCACCGGCCGCGGCGGCGAAAGAGCGGCGACCGTCGGTGACGAAGTCGCCGTTGCGTTCCACTCGTTCGTCTCCAGCTCACCTTCGAGCGGATTGCTGGAAGAACGACATAGGTGACGCAGCGTGGCAGCCACGCTCGCCCAGCACCCGCCGTTCCTCTCCTCGTCCTCCACGGGAGGCGCAGGCGCCGCCGCCGCCGTCGCCGGCGACCTCTCCGACCGCACGGCCCCAAAGCACGAAACCTTCGGGGACCCGGGATCCGTCTCCACCGCCTCGCTCGCGAAGACCCTGGCCCCCGCCGCCGCGGGTGCCCGGCGCCATCCGCGGCCAAGGCATGGGGACAGCCGCTTCTTCTGCGCGACCATCTTTCCCGCCGGCAGACCGCAGATCACGACGGCCGCCTTGCCGGTCACCGGCAGCCTCCTCGACTCAGCCGACGACGGCCGTGGCCCGCCCTTCTTCCCCTTCCCGGACGCAGCGGCCGCCTTGGGATTAGAGCTGCCCTTGGTGGAGCCATCCCTCTCCAGCACCGCGCCGCCGGCCAACTCCGCCCAGATGGCGCCGTCCCCTATCCGCACGCAGCGCGACTCCGCTGGGGCGTCGGAGCAGCCGGGGAGCGCGATGGTCTCGCACGCCACCCTCGACCCCGCCTCGCCGCCGCCGCAGAAGAGGGACTCCAGATTGATTTGCGGCATCCTTGCCAGCTACTAGCACTGACTGACTGGTGGGTGAGCGATTGATAGTTTCTGGAGAGTCAGAGCAAGTGGATTTAAGGGGAGCGCCAAACAAAAGACGTGGAGATTTTGAAAAGGGGGAGGCCCGTGCGGTGTGGAACGGCAGCGAGTACCGTTGGTGGGTTGAGTGGTTGGGTGAGGCGCGGCTTGCCGGGGAGTTTTGGAGGTGCTTTCTCGTTGTTTTTAGTTTGCACGCAGCCATCGGTAACATCGGCAGACCGGCTACTAGCAGTGTGTCGAATGCCCAAACGCGCGGCAGTATCTAGTTCATACTAAGTTTGGTTGAAATTGGTATGATGTGATAGAAAAAAATTATGTGTGTATGAAAGGTTTGATGCGATGGAAAGTTGAAAGTTTGAAAAAAAAAAACTTTGGAACTAAACAGGCCATATGAAGTAGAAGAATTTTGAACGAGGAAGTGCATATGGGGGCTAAAAGATTGTCTTGCTTATTTTTTATGCTTACTAAAAAATACCCGTGCGTTGCAACGGTTTAATGCTATTTTAATCTTATTATATACGGTTTAACTAGGATGAAATTCACTGTAGGAATTCGCTTGGATTTTTTTTTAGAAAATCATGAGCTGCAATTAGGAGTCCGATTTTTATCTCAAGTTAGCATGCAAGCTTTTTTAAATAAATTTCTTATACGACTTTTTTTGTATTTCCAAAGCAATCGAATTTAAAATCCAACTCATACACGGATATTTATTTCCAAGAGCGAACGGACTTAAAAATCGACTCAAATACGGATGACTTACTAAAATATCGGTAAAAACATCTTCAATTTATAATAGTAGAGAATAGATATAAGTCAAAGATTAAAATTTAAAACTCAATTTTAAATTTAATTATTTTCATCATAGTTTAATTTGCAACATTTGATTTTAAGTCGTTCAGGACACGTACATAAAATTTTTACTCGTAAATATTTTTTTATTTACTTCATAAGCATATGAATAAATAAAATAATTGTGATGTTTGAGTTTGAATTGGTACTTAGTACTAATAATATAAATATTTAAATTTTAATAATATATTGGATACGTCACCTATACTTCAAACTAAATAGGATTAGATAAAAAACGATTATGACTTTTTAATATTAATTTTTTAAATTCGAAAGTAAAATTAGTAAAAAAATAAAGACATAATGGAACATCTTACTATATCTTCCGTTGTTTTCATGTTATATTAACATTTTACAAATTTTGAATTAATAAGTATATCTAATTGTATTTATGTCGGAGTTTTAATTTAGCATGTTTCATAATTCAATAAATATAGAGTTGCGAACTGTTTAGACTTTGGTTCTAAAATTCCGAATCAATAAACTATTAGTTTGTGGTAGTATTTGACATGGACTCCTATTTCATCCAAACTTCTTAAGTCAAATGTGAAGTTACACGGTGTTTTCCAAGGACATGTTTTATTTAATACAAATTCACAACATGATCTACAATTACAATAATATATTTTAGTTAATTAGTATAATATTTGTTGTTTTTTAAGTAGATTTAGAAAATTTTTTGTGAGTTGGGTCCATAGCTCAGTGGTAGAGCATTTGACTGCAGATCAAGAGGTCTCCGGTTCGAACCCGGATGGGCCCTTATTAACTAAGTTTTCTAATTTTTCTATTTTTAAAACATATTTCCGTTCCAATCTGGCCAAATCCATCTCTTATTTTTCCAATCATCCCATTTCTTTCCTCTCGTTAATGTAACAATCGCAATCCCAATCTGGACGTCGTTAATCTTCCTCATCCCAACTGGCCAAATTTGCTCGCCATCTCGTTCCGGCCCAACTGATGGGCCTCTCGTCTGGCCCGGACGAAGTCTCCGCGGCCGCGAGCCCCCGTCCGGCCGAGGTTGCACACAGGACGGGGGCCTGTAGGCGAGTCGGCGTGTGCTGAAGCTCCCCATCAATCGCGCGGTTCGTGCGCGCACTACTACGCTAGCGCCCCGCACCAACGGCAAGAGCACACGTTTGTTGAGAACTCAGTAGTTCTTCATTAGTAGGTAATTAAAGAGGGTGACAAAAGACCGGTCTCTTAGTACAGAAATCAAAGCCAGTTCAAGACTGCTAGCAAAACCGGGGCAAACTATGGCCGGTAACCAAAATAAGAAAGCAAACCTAGACGCTATAAACACACGACTTCAGAAACAAACTACTACTGCTGGACAGAACACAACACAAGGGACCCCAAAACACGCAGCGATCTCCATCGGCCGGAATGGATCGATGGCGCTGCCAGCGCGTCGTCGTACGTCGTCGTCGTCAGCCTACGGGGAGCTCCTCCTCTTCTTCTTCCCCCAGAACCTGTGGTAGAGCTGCACGGTGCGGCCGTTCATCTGCTGCGTCGGCCTGCTGTTCCGGCGGTAGCCTTCGTCCAGGGGAGCCATCAGATCGGCGGCCTGCTGCGGTGTCATCTCTCTCGGCTGCAACATTTTAGTAAGCATTCGTGCTCACAAAGTTCAGACTTGGCAGAATGCGATGCGAGCCATGTTGCTGTCATGATGCAGCTGAGATGGAAAATTTTAGGAGATGAAGCTAGTGCGTGTGTAGTATACGTACCATGGCAGGGATGTTCCAGATCACGTTCTCGGCGCACGGTGGCGTGGTCAGTGACCCAACGTATCTGTAGTATATGTGCACGTGCTGCCTCATCGTCAGCAAGCTCACAGATCCGGCAGGGACCGGGCTGCCTTTCTCTGCCTTGCAGCCCTCCGCGTTGAGCGCAGCCAGCTTATCCTGAATCTATCATCCATGAAGGGCAAAACACCACATATCAGGAACAGAGGAAGACATGCTGCTATAAATTATTGCCTTTGAACGGTAGAATCGTAGTGTGCACCGTGCAGCCACGTCATATGAATCGGGTGATCTACCTGTTCGAAGAACGGGTCTGGCCTGCCAAATCGGTAGAGAAAGGCCAGAACGGTGATGTTGCCATTTTCGTTGGTGTGAACCATGTGGAGCTCCAGTGGGAACCTGCCAGAGAAAAAAGTTACAACGAATTGTGATCACTGATCAGCACAGAAAAGGATGATCCATTCCATATTTCCAGCCGTCGTCTGCATTTCGTCTCTGTTATGTGCAGGCAGGCGCAAACCTGAAGCCGTTGATGGTGTGCTCGGAAGGAGAGTGCCAGTGCATCTGCTTCAGCGTGTACTTCACCCCGTTAATGCTCAGAACCCCTGCTGCCTCTTCGTACCGCAGCTGAAGGAAACAAAAACGACTAACTATCAGAAGACTGCACAATCAGAGGAGGGACAGAGTAGTGTTCAGTGCAAGAGGTTTGGTTCAGAACAAACCGCGACGTTGAAGATGTTGTCGACAAGAGTAGCATTTGCAGCGGTATAATTTCTATGGAGTGGCTCCATATTCAGTTCATGAACCAGGTTGTTGGTGTCGATGTCAATTGGGGACTGCTGCTTTCCGTTCGAGCAACGCGTGAAGTCGGCACTCAAATTCCCCCAGAAGTCAGGGCCGATAGAACCAGTGTACCCAAACTTCACGCCACCTGCTTCCAATCAAGAATTCACATATCTCACATCAACGATAACGTTAGAAAATGATAATATTGCGAAACTTGATTGTGAAATTGTCCAAATTGACAGCAGAAACGGAAGCAAGGAATTCTGAATGCTCTCATGAAGGCATGGAAACGACTGTAACAGTAGATAAATACACAAGCAGAGTAGACAGGGTTCAGACAAATACTCAATGCAGGGTAGAAGAATGTACCGCTGTCACATGCAAGGGACGGGAGAAAGAGAGTGCACAGCAGCAGAACAAAGATCGCATTTCCATGAGAAGCTGCCATCTTTTCCTGCAATGCAATAAAGCCTGCAAACGGAGAAGAAACCACAGGGCAAGAACAGAGAGTAGTTTGGAGTCAAGCCACTTGTAGAATGAGCAAATATATAGGCATTGAGCTTAATCGCATTGTCGCAAACTGGCAATGTCATGGACCAACCACAATCCATCTTACCTCTACTTTGCTATATGCAGATCAGCTTCAACCCTTTGGAGTTTGGTCCCTGGAACCAAAGTGGCCGTGCTCCGACTAGTAGATGTTCCTGCGAAAAGGACAGGCAAAAGATGTCGATTCTCTGCAGCCATCACAAGATCGATCATATATAAAGTGTGCAATCATGCTGGGGCAATAGTGATCTGACCTCTTTGCTCGACGGCTGCAGGAATCTTCGAAGGCCAGAAGATTTCCAAGAGCAAGAACGCTGCTGCTGGTGAAGGTGCTAACTTGGGCGGTTTATCCACCAGAGTTCAGAAGACACCACGTATATATAGACACAGTTTTGCCCCTCTTTTGCAGCCGTTCTTTCCCACTTCTCCCTCTTTTTTCTGCAGTGACATGACATGCAATTTTTGCGAGGAAATGGAGGTAGTGCTTGTCGTGGCAACAGGAGCACGTACGCCCATTAACCACACGTCCTGCAAGCTCGAATGTTGCATGCAATGCACGGGAGAGGAGGAGATGGACAAAGCGAACGGAAAAAAAGATTAAAATCCTGGCCACGTCTAGGCGCACGACTACACGAGCGAGCACACGACGACGCACAAAGCTCGGGGTGAGGTGTTCGTGTTGCCCTTGCATTTCGAGAAGTGGTGGAGAGGAGAGAGGCTGAGTGGCTTCACCGAACAGTCGTCCAACTGTCCAACCGAAAGCGTCAAAGCGGTCATGGCCTTTCAACTATACAGATATCGGATCAAGCAACAAAAACCATCATCTTGCGTTGCTTAATTGAGAGTGGAAGAAGACGGTTGAGAAGACATGTTCAGCTTTGTCAACTCGTGCAACGCCCTAAATCTTCTATCTATCTTCTATTATATACTAAAAGTCCATTAAACTTCCTAGAAACCCTCCTAAGCCGCCACATAGGACCCCTAGAAACGCTCCTACGCCGCCATGTGGCGATCTAATAAATTATAGAAATTCTAAGAAAATATTAGCCATCGATTTTCATTTAATATATGGTAGGCCCATTATTTTCAACCATTAGATCTATTGTAAAACATACCAATTAAAATTATCTCCAAAACCCAATATTGCCAATCTTTATGTGCATGTGCACATAAGTACGGACGTTTAGTAGGTATTCCAAAAAAAAAAGGTACGTACATATATTCCAAGGTAAAAAAGTACGTACATATGTACATAAGCAGGCCGGGCTAACGACATCTTTTTATTTTCTTTTTTTTCACTCGGATAAAAAACCAAACTGCCCATATTAACTATGCTCTACTTACGTTGTAAAAATATAGGCACATATATGTCATCGAAACACCAATGAGAAGCAAAAATTAATTAAAGTATATATTATGTAATAGTTAAATTAGACTTGCATTTGTTAAAATAAAAACAATTCTAATTGTGACTAGCAATTCTCAAAAGTTACCTACTCCTTATAAAAAATAATGATATGTCAAACTGATATCACTAAATTTATCATGAATGTGTTTTCTCTATTCGTATAATATTTAAATATCAAAGATTGTATATATTCTTTTCACACTGTACTGATCTCCTTTATCTTCTACTTATGCTTCATTTGATCTAGCTGGATGGCTGAGCTTATTCAGGATACATGAAACGACACATATCATTAGTGCAAGATTAATTAAATATTGAATATAATAAAGCCAAAATAGATGTATTTAATTTTTAAACTTTTATATAAAATATATTTTAATTATACACAAGTTGCTTTTAAATATATACGATGTAGGTTATGGTTGTCAATTTAATTATAGTGCATAAAATGGTTCAGATGGATTTAGATATTATTATATATTCCAAGGTAAAAAAGTACGTACATATGTACATAAGCAGGCCGGGCTAACGACATCTTTTTATTTTCTTTTTTTTTTCACTCGGATAGAAAACCAAACTGCCCATATTAACTATGCTCTACTTACGTTGTAAAAATATAGGCACATGTCATCGAAACACCAATGAGAAGAAAAAATTAATTAAAGTATATATTATGTAATAGTTAAATTAGACTTGCATTTTTTAAAATAAAAACAATTCTAATTGTGACTAGCAATTCTCAAAAGTTACCTACTCCTTATAAAAAATAATGATATGTCAAACTGATATCATTAAATTTATCATGAATGTGTTTTCTCTATTCGTATAATATTTAAATATCAAAGATTGTATATATTCTTTTCACACCATACTGATCTACTTTATCTTCTACTTATGCTTCATTTGATCTAGCTGGATGGCTGAGCTTATTCAGGATACATGAAACGACACATATCATTAGTGCAAGATTAATTAAATATTGAATATAATAAATCCAAAATAGATTTATTTAATTTTTAAACTTTTATATAAAATATATTTTAATTATACACAAGTTGCTTTTAAATATATACGATGTAGGTTATGGTTGTCAATTTAATTATAGTGCATAAAATGGTTCAGATGGATTTAGATATTATTATCAAAAGATATGTCTTTTGTAATAATTCCTATATCAATGGGTAGATAACTGGGAAAACAAGGAGCAACCAATCTGATAAGTACTCTAGAACTTATTGCTTATTTACTAAAATGTTTAATGTGTAGTATATAATATACTTTATGAATAAAAAAATATCCTAATATATAATCATATGCCACCACTTATCCATAAGTATATAAATTTTATCAACTAATCGTCAAGTCATATTGCTTACGAGGTATTCATTCATAGTGCACCTAATAATTAGCTACCATCCAACGAGCACTTATGTCATGAAGCACCATATATAACGGACTATGCTAAGTGGAGAACTATCAACAAATGATAGGTAAAGTAAAGCATGCCACCAAGCCACAGCAAATAATAATCGATTACAAGTATATTGTCAGTATAAGCAATAGAATTCTACACTTCTACAAGAACCCTTAATATATCACGTAATAGATCTCATAAATTAGAAAAAAAGTATAAGGAAAAATATAAAAAAGAAAATATCTGGTCATCAATTTACACTTCAACTGGTAGATCCATTATTTTTAACCATTATATTGGATATATTCGAGCTAAAAACCAACTAATCTCTCCCTATGTACGTACCTATACAAGAGATGTCAAAAAGGAAAAAAAAAGAAGAATGTATATATGATCTGCTCCGTCTGGTTGTTTTTTTGTTTCTTTCTTTGCAGCACTAAAGTTTTCCTCAAATTATGCATATATATAGTGAAACTCTTTACGATGTTATCGAAAAAGTCATGCCACCGTGGCATCGCTTCATGCCATCCCACAAAACTTTTTTAAAATATTTTTTTAACTAATGATCTAAAACGAAATCATAGACACTCATATAAATATGTGCACAACCATCCTACGAATATGCGCAGTACTATTCACAAAAAAAAACAAAAATATACATACGTACAATAAAAAATGTCGCATGGAAACCTATTATATCCTTATATAAGTATGTCATTCTCATCTAAATAGTGTTGACAAAATTAGCACAAATAATTTTGACAATATGAATTATTCCTTCGAATATTACCCATGAATATACGTAGGTGACTTAGATGTATAGTAAAAGAAAAAAATCTAAACCCATATTAACCTGTATGTTTACGAAAGATGGTGATATGCGACTTTATGTATAGCCATGACAAAGTGAAATTTGTTTGAATATAATAGATTTTATCAATTAGTATATCAAAGTTTATAATTTATTTCACATAATAAATATTTCTTATTTTATATTATAAGGTAATCTATGGTTCTTAAAATAAATACGGTAACATATGGTTTATTTTAGTATTCTTTCTATAAACAAAAAAATAAATTGCCCGCGCATCTGCGCGGGCTTCCTTTCTAGTTACACTAAACATGAATCCAGTATCAACTCTCTTTTTTTGAGGTAAGATAATGAGTCAAAATCTAGTACTACATCCAGTAGCCAACTGGTTTGTCTGGTTATGAGTATTTCTGAATTTACTGTAGTCCAAACGACAAGCATGAAATCCTATATCACTTTTGGCAGCACTAGGATAGCAAGATTCATCTCTACGAATGGCTGACCTGCAAAATGGCAAAGGACACATCATCACTGAGCAGTCTCAGCTGGAGGAATATATCCCACTATGTGGGGACTGCACACTGTAGGGCTGCACCGAAAGGAAAGGACCACAAAATTTTCAGGCTCCAGAGCCCCATAGCACATTCTGGATGGCTTCAAGGATGAAGAAAATAGTATATGTGCCTTGAAGAGCTTGACATTGATAAATGCTAGCCATGTCTCATTGCCTACCACTTCTTTCTTTTTTTTTTTCGTCATCTTTTCTTTTGAAGACTTCATTGCCTACCACTTCAGCAGGCAAAAAAAGTTGACCCTGTCAATATCAAGTTATCAACAGGCTAGAGAATATTAGAACAGGACAAGACTTAAAGAGCATATGGCAGGCCAAATATATAATCTTTTGATAAGAGCCACTTCCAGCTATTAAAAACATGGGGATTACCAGTTTTAACTTGGTATATTAGCCGCCCCATAATCGGTAAGTGGAGGAGGATAAGGCCCATGGCGCTTTCTGGTACCTGCAAAGCATGAAGCGGTCACTATTAAGCCGTCCACAGGTATTATTCAGCGTGCAGGCAAAATGCATGGAGCACACTGTAGAATGTGGAGATGCAACGACGACAGCGGAATGTGAATAGCAGAGCATGTCAACAGCTACTTGTCACGATAAAGATTGAAAAAAATCTGAAAATTCATTAAACTTTCTATGAATGCTCTTAAACCACCACGTGACACTCCTACAAACACTTTTAAGTTGTCATATGATAATGTCTAATCTCACCATTGATTTTCACTTAAATTGGTGGACCCAATATTTTAGACCATTAAATTAGTGTATTGTTTTTGTTAAAAAAAGTGATACCTTCCTCCTGTATTCTGTGGGTTGGAAAAAGAAAAAAAAATGTAAATACTTTGTACGTATGTACCAACTGAAAAAATGAAGCTTACCTACTATTCACCGGAAGAAAAAAAAAGTAGGTAAAGAATCGTACGTACAGACTTATGATAAAAACGATAAAGTAAAAAAAAGACGCACTTAGTAGAAAAAAATAATGGTATTTTAAATTAGGTTTTTCTACTATTTTTTATAAATATATTACTCTACAAATTTACGCGAATGCGTCAACCTCCCCGGTGTGATCAAGGTGGAAGACGAGGGACGGGAGTGGGAGTGGGGAATAGGGCATCCAGGCAACTTCGCGCTCCTAGATCCGATGGAGGCAGCGACGACGGTCCAGCTCAGGATTGGGGGTGGGCCAAGTGATGAGTGGGGTAGGGGCATGAGAAGGGGGGAGCGCCTCGGCGATGGTGACAACGGTGGCGAAGGAGTTTTCCCATTTGAGTTGATCTCTAGATTGTAGACGAAAGCGCGAGCGAGGAGAGGAGGGAGGGAGGGAAGGAGGGAGGGAGGGAGGGCTACGTGAGGTGCTAGGGGACGGCGACGCCTCGGTCGGCTGGAGGCTGCCTCGGCATGGTGGGCAAGAGGAGCGCCGGCACAAGGCAGCACACCGAGCGCTGCTTGGCAGCGAAATCTTCAGTGGCTGGGCCACTTACATGTTGGCCTCACATATTTTTTTGCTGACTAGGATACCACGTCAGCAAACCGCACATGACATGTCATGGGACTTACTTTACATGGTTTTGAATACTTGAGGGTAGATATTTCTGGTATTGGTGATTAGGGATGTTATACAGATTCAAGTACTCGACGTAAAGTTGAGGGATAGTAAGTGGACTTATTCCAACAAAGTTGAAACACGGCCTGCAAAAGCCCATTAAGAATCTAGCCTGCGAGCCAACCGAGAAAATTCGCGGGGATGTTCGGCTGTTTCGGTTTCGGCCTGCGTAATTGCGTGGGGGTGTTGCCCAGTGCGCGAGGAGAGAAGCCCACGCCACGCCACACCTCCCTCGCTCTGCTCTGCCCTGACCTTTCATTGGCCTGCCTGATCCGCTCGTAGAGTGGGGTCATGCTCACACACCTCACAACTCACAAGTCGAATACGTGTCTACGCGCGTGATTCACCTGCCACTGCCCGTGGTATGACGATTGACGACGGTGGAAGAGGACATGATCTATATCTATACTAATATTTATATATTAATATAAAAAGTACGAGTTCATCCAGCAATCCTCTAATCCTTCTGATCCACTGTCGCGTAGGACCCATCTGTCATCCAAAGAAACCGCACCACGCACGGAGAAAAAAAAAGAGACGGTGCGAAAAAAAATAACGCGCACGCTCGGCGGACCTAACCCATCGCCGCGCCGCGCCATCCCCACGCTGCGCCGCCCGCTGGAACTAACCCACGGCGCCGCCATCCCCCACGCACAGCAAGAAATCGCTAATCTCCGCCCCCACGCCACTGCTCCGCCTGCCGCGCCGCCCGCCCCACGCCCCACGCTGCACCGCCCGCCGGACCTGATCCCGCCTCACCTCACCGGCGCCGCCCTCCCCCACGCCACCATCGCCGCCCTGCCCCTTCCCATGCCGCGCCGCCCGCCGGACCTGAGCCCGCCTCACCTCACCGGCGCCGCCCTCCCCCACGCCACCATCTCCACGGCCCTCCCCACGCCACCGCCATCCTCCCTCGCCGCCGCCGCCACCGGGGGCGGTTCCCAACTCCGCCTCCCCCACCACGCCTCCCACATCGCGTCACCCCTACCGCCCCGCATCTACCGGCCGACGGTTCCTCCGCGTCGCCGCCGGCTCCTCCCGCGGCACCCCACCCCCATCCCGGCGCTTCTGTCCGTGGAGATCGGCGGGGTAGCCGGCTCGCAAGGTGGAGCATCGATGTGACGTGATGCAGCATTTGGGGAGTCTTTGGTAGAGGTGGAGCGGTGGAGATTCCGACGCCGCCGAAGCCCCACCCAGTGCACATCGGCGTCGCGACTCCCGCCGACGCCCCGCCATCTTCCGACCGGCGCCGCCGCCCGCATCACTGCCGACGCCTCGCCATCGCGCGGCCGCCACGCCAACCGCGACGCCCGCCTCGCCGATCTCCTCCGCGGTCGCTGCCGCCATCTCCACCGGCCACCGCTGTCCTCGGTACGCACTGCTAAGTCCTAACCCACCCATGCCTCTGCCTTGCCGCCGACACCAATAACCCCTGCGTCCGCTGTGCTTCACGTTGACTGGTCATGGAACCAGTGCAGCCCACTCCACTGGCTGGAGCTGCTTCCCTCAGGCTGCCGGAGGTAGCTCGCTGTGCCAGGTTATCAGTCATCTCAAGCAATGTGCTCATTAGGCTATTGTTTGATTCACGTACAGAATCTGTTGCAGTAGTTTAGACGATCTTGCACTATACATTCCTGTATTTACAAAATCTGTTGCAGTGTTTGATTATACATTCGGCATCATATTTTGCATTATATTGTTATTTTCAACTCCTGTATTTACAGAGTGTTGACATGTTATTTGTATTTAGATCCCAGCCAATGTGAATTCTAGAGCTCTGTTCTAAATGTTGGTAAACTCTAATGAATTCTAGAGCTCTGTTCCAAATCTTTGAGTCCATACTTTAGTCCATGCTCTGCACCTTAGCAAAAATGAAAATGTTATCTGCAGCTAGCCCAAGGAATCCACCTGCATCCAGATTATGTTTCTTCAACTATTTGTTATATGGTTCCCTCCAGTCATTCTTTTGTACAGCAGCGTGCTCACTATTTGTTTGCTAAAATGTTGACCATGCATTTGTTGAAATACTCAATAAAAATTTGTTCGACCACTGCCACCATGGTCACTATTAGGGGCTCCACACCGATATCTTCAGCAAGATTGGGTAAAATGTCTTGCTGCTGATGTCAGTAACATTTTTTTTCTTCATGTGAGTTGCTAATTGTTCCTCATAAGGTCCTTGCAGGTTCAAGAAATACAGGATTCATGTGATGAGAAAAAGGAAAATAGGGTTCAACTGAACTCTGAATCTAAAGAAAAACGAAACATACGGCAAAAAAATATGGCAAAGGCCAACATAAAGGTAATTTGTATGGAGTTAGGTGTCGTTTCTACATGACAATACTTTATTGTTGGAATTTCCTGTTACCTTGCTATGGTATGATATTTGGCTTGAATTGATGCTAATTTTAACTGTACTTGCTAAAATTGCTATGGTTTGATGGGTAACACCGAAGCAGGAATTCCATGTCTTTCAGATCTACTGTGCTGCATCTTGAAAAACACTATTGCTAGCATGTAGGAACAACTCATGAGGACTAGCAGTAGGTATATCAGTAACAGCTTATCTATATCCCTATACTATATTATCATCACTATCATTGGTGTGTTTAGTTCCAAAGTTTTTTTCCAAACTTCCAACTTTTCCCATCACATCAACATGTCATACACACACAAACTTTCAATCACATCGTTCCAATTTTCAACCAAACTTCCAACTTCGGCGTGAACTAAACACAGCCCATATCTATATTCAGAATTATTTGAAGATGAGACGATGACTAGCAGTAAGACTGCTCCTATTCATGTCAAACTCTGTCCATCAAGATTGCTAGATATCTCTATTGGATGCTGTTAGTAACTCCTATTAGATGTGTTTTTTTTTGGCTGTTAGTAACTCCTATTAGATGTTACCATTGGACTAAAATATCATAAGTATATCTGTACTCATATATGAAAATCTCATCTAGAATTGCTCTTTTTTTACTATATTTACAGCTATATAATTTTGTACGAAATCATACAACAACTGCTCTAAGTAATTAGTTAGATAGCAAATGCTCTTCGTAATTGTACAGAATCATGTGATGTCATCTTACCCAATCCTGGATTTCTGTCTTAGCTAAGATGGGTGCTTTGCTTTACATAAGACAGACGTGCATGCATATCTGGATTTAAGCCGTATACTTCTGCCTTAGGATTTTGTAGGATGTGGGCTTTCATGAAGAAGGTTTGCAGCTCAGCTAAGTTGACGCGGGGGCAGTAAGCTTCTGCAAACCTGGGCTCTATTTTGCACAGGGAGAACACAATAGCAGAGGCTACCATGAGAAGATCTGATAAATTTCCATTTGAGAGGCTCGGTTATTGATGTTTCCTAAGGATTTTTAGGGTTTATTTGGATTTATTTATAGGTGTAAATACTGCAACGTGTCAAACTGAATAAAAGAAGTGCCTCATTTTGTCTCAAACTGTAGTAGTAGGCTAAGATTTCAGATTTTTTAGCTAGATGGTGGCGATTGTGAATTTCAAGTTGATTTGCTTCTGGGCTAGCATGCTCTGCCCATTCAAGAGATTGCATGCACGTACATTGATCAATGACAACGCCATATTTTCCTTGCATATTATTTATTCATCAAATATTATGTCACGTGGATTTCACGTGCACGTTTACTAGTAATTAATTAATTACGAGCTTGTCAGGTGGGTTCTTCCGCTAGATGGCTACAACTGCATCTATACTCGGTCATTTTCGACACCAGGACCCTTTAAAACACAGTACAGTAAAAACATAGATATAAGAAAAACACAGAAACTAAAGTAATATGTTCATCCAATTATTGAAAACATGTAAAACAGAAAGAAAATCCTTTGATTGCACTGGAGGAAAATAATCCAAATGAAAGTTCCCTAAGAGGTTTCCTATGAAATTGACTATAGGGATACAATCCTATAGAAAATTTCTTATCATCTTCCTATTAATCAAATTAAGGGCTCTATAGGGAAAAAAAATCCTTAGGAAGTTGAGTTCTCCAAAAAAAAAAAAAAGTACTTTGCCAATCCTTTGAGACCTAACTACTCCTGCTGTCCGGGAATAAGTCCATTTTTCGTCCTTTTCGTATATACCAAAGTAAGTAAATAAGTTGATTTTTAGCAGTCATCGTATCGGAGTTTGTAAAAGTACAACATAAATAAATTGTAAGTAGATAAAATGAAGAATAATAGTAAGTAAATAAGTTCATTTTTAGCAGTCATTGTATCGATGTTTGTAAAAGTAAGTAGGTAAAAATGAAGAATATGGGTGTATTCATTGGTTTCTTATTGATATGTGTGGGATAATAAGTAAAAATGTTGAAACATAGGGGGGGTATTAATTAGGTTACAATTTTGCAACTTTTATAATCACACATGTACTACTGTATTATACACACCTGTCTGCACGAGTACTACGCCCTGAAACTCTCAGATCAAAATTATTACACATCGAAAAGGGCCACATAATATGTACAATACTACAAATATCTCTCTGAACTTATGTACCGATGATTGTCCCACTGATATATACAATATACAGTTTGCATAAACAAATCAAAATGTATCAATAAGAAATTAATCAACAAGAATTGTATCAAACCAAGGTCGTATATTACAGATCTGGACTTGTATCATCTCGAAGCTTTCGTTAGTTTCTACTTCTACATCACTATCTGTGCCAAATTTAGCCCCTAAATGCTAGTATCAAATAAAAATAAAAAGACACACTAAATGCATGGGCGATCCTATCGTTCTGAAATCTGAATGATCTTGTGCTCCCGAAGCATCCCTGGAGTAATGTAATATTAGGTTAATCTTTGAGCATACTAGTATGTGGCATGAGCATATAGGTGATTAATTCCTACTAATATGGCAAACTACTATAGTATCAGAATTTACTAGATCTTCCAAATTTGAAGAATTTTCTCTATTTCTTAATCCAAAACAAGCTATTTTACTACATGAAGAATCCACTACATAGATAAATTCACTCAAAAAAAAAACTACATAGATAAAAATGCTGGTTGTCTTCCAACTATCTTACCTTGCTTTCTTCTATGGGAATCTTCAGCAGCAAGAGATGCTGCACCTTTACTCTACTTTACTGAACTGGACAAAAGTATATACTCTCAGGATAAGATGAGAGTGATCGATGCAATGGCGATGAGAGCTAACACTGAAACCGCCTGCCAAGGACAAATGTCACGGTCGTTAGTCGTTACTAGTCAGGTCTCTTGTAAATTAGAGATGCAAAAGGAGGATGTACTATCTCTGATGTTTCATTTGCACATTCATAGAACGGACACTTCACGCTTTCGCGGCAAAACTAAAGCAGATGCGTCAAAGTCATCAATTACTTTCGACACCGATTTAGTGGGGAGTTCTATTCCTGCTTAGGCCATGTGATTAGCTAGTTGCCAAACGTTTGATAAAGTATTATATGAAAGCAGCACGGTCACCTGATCTAAATTCTTTTATCTATATGATGCGTGACATGCAGCAGAAAGTTTGTAACAGTTTTGCAGATTTTGAAGGAGAAAAAAACGATCGAGTTCACAGTTCACACCGCCTACCTTTCGCGCGCTTTTCGATTCGTCCATCGGCGGGAGATACCCGCGCAGGCCGACGTCGTAGACCGGCGTGCCGTCGGGGTAGAACAGCCCGTAGTTCCGCTCGGATGCCGGCCCCGGCTTGAGGTTCTCGTTGAACAGCGCAAAGACGTAGACGTCGATGGGCGACGACGGCCTCAGCGGCGTCCCCTGCTTCATCTCGATCCTCCGCAGGAGGTTGCCGATGTAGATCCCGGCGTACTCCGGCGTCGCGCCGGCCTCGTCGGGGTCGCCCCTGGACGGCCACCCGGTCTCGGAGATCTTCACGTCGACGTCGGTGTGGCCCAGCGCCTGCATCGCGGCGTACACTGAGTCGATCTGGGCGTACAGCATGTTGTCGTAGTTGAGCTTCGTGTTTGGGTCGGTCACGCCGGCGTTGGGCTGGAAGAGGACGTACTCCAGCGGCACGCTGCCCGGGTCGGCCTTGTAGGCGAAGTACGGGTAGCAGTTGATCAGGAACGGGGACCCCGCCATGGACAGGAAGTTGAGCAGCGGCTGGATGTACGGCACGGCGTCGGGCCGGAACGCGCCGGCGGAGGGAGGGTAGGAGCTGCCCATGATGTCCAGGGAGTGCGCCGTCGTGACGTTCACCTGGCCCTGCAGCCCGAGCGCGACGACGGCGTTGTACACGGACTGCATCGCCGGCAGGAGGTTGGCCTTGAGCGCGGTGTCGTTGCCCTTGAACACCTCGTTCCCGACGGTGATGCAGGTGATGCGCGCGCTCGGGAGGTAGGGGCGGACGTGCTGCTGCACCCACGCCTGCGCCGCCGCCGGGTCCACCATCGCCGACACGTTCTCGTTGCCGATGCCGACGACGAACTCCACGCCCGTGTCGAGGAACGCGCTCAGGACGTTCTGGTCGGCGTCGTAGAGCTTCACCTTGCTGATCTGCATTGACCGGAGGAGACCCGAGACCCTGGTCGGAGAAGGGAGGTTGTCCGCGATCTGCCCGTAGTTGATCCCGATTGACATGCCTTGAGCTGATGCCGCTAGCACTTGATCTGCAATTGTTACAGATCAGATCAAAATCAATATGTTTTCTATATTAACCTAAGATGCATGATTGTACTACTCTAGTCACAGAAAACATACGAGTTAATGCCAACGTGAAGGTCTGAATGAATGAAAATCATATGAATAATAAGTTGGGCATAAGAAATTTTTTCATAATATTATACTTCGTAAAGTTTTTCTAGATAGATAACTAACAACACAAAACAAATGGTAAAAATGCATATTGAAAAGTAAAAGAACAATATTTTTATGACAATGGACAATGCATTTTGTTGAGAGGGTAAAAGAGGAAAACAACTTTGTGTAAACCCTTTCACTTTCCAGGAGGCTTTTGACATTAGTGTTCAGTTTTCACCACAAATGGACTGTTTGCCCTAAAACAGTTTCGCTATATATAGACATAACTTCATGACTTGGTTTTGATCATCTGATCAGAAAGAAGACAACATACATCATGTGGTCCACAAATGACCCAAATTGCACCAGAACAGATCATTGGTGAAGGAATCTAGGAGATTTGAAAAGTAACTAAAGTTACGAGAAATCTTAGCTGCACCTCTGATCAATGGTACACAATTCTAGTTAATTACTTAATTACATGATCTGATGAGAAGTCTGGTCCACATGTGAGCATGTGATTCGGGTGTCCCACCAAGAATCAAGTCAATAAAAAAACAACTTACGTTATCAAACACCTTTCAGAGTTCCAGGGTAGAGGATCATGATTTATAAAATTTCTCTTCCTATGGCCACAAGTGATCAAAAAGTTCATCAGATTTAGCTGGCAACTGCGAGTTAAGCAAACCACTGTCGCAGACAAGCTTTACGGAGAAAGTCATCACAGCTCAGAACCAGATCAGATGCACGTCAAATTGAGGCGAAAAGGAGAAGGAAAAAGTGACAAATAGACTCGTTTCTTAGGCAAATAAGCTAAAAGGCTCGGATTTAGTATTGGGATTTGGGGTGATGCCATCTTAGTGGGTAGCCTGCCTTACGCCATGGAGCACAAGGGGGACCATGTAATCTCACTGGATATGCGTTAAAAATTTAGGTAAGATTATATCAGCAAGGACATCTAATAACCACCATTCACAATAGCTTGCAATGTGAATTGCAATATTGTTCGATTTTGCTATATATTTGTCGACAAATTTTCTCCCAAAAATTTGACAGATGTAATTACAGTACAGTCGTAGTGTAATTACACTGTAACTTGCATGTAATTACACTGTAACTATAGTGTAACTTGTATGTAACTTTCAAAAATCTCTCTGTAATATGTTATTTCGGTAAAATGGAGGTTGTGGGAACAAATCCTTATACATATGTATGTGCCGTGATTTTTTTTCTTCCCCAGCAAAACAAATCTTGTAATAGATATAATGATTCAAAATTACATGAAACTTACGTACAAGTTACACTGTAGTTACATGCAAGTTACAGTGTAATTACATATAAGTTACAGTGTAATTACACTACGATTGTATTACAATTACATCTGTCAAATTTTTAGGAGAAAATTTGTCGCCAAATGTATAGGTGGTCCCATATTGTTTTGGGAAAATAATCAGTATAGCCTAATGAAGTATTCCTTATTGAGGCAAAATACATAAATATATTTACCATTAATAAAAAAAAGAACTTTCAGAAGTCAGAACAGAATTAAATATGCACTGAACTAATGGAAAGGCAGTATCAATCATAATTTCCATTAAAAAATAAGCGATGTGAAGAAATGGAAAATGGAACAAAAAATAATTCCGTGCAAATAATTTATGCTTAAACAGACACAGAGATTGTCTGAGACACCAGTTAGCTACGAAGGTCAAACTCAAACGGTCAGGGAGCTTCATGCAAAGGATCATATGTATGTACAGCTAGTTCAACCAGTAACATTAACCTTCATTCTGAGTTCAGACATGCTGTAAGCTCAGAGTTCCTTTATATTCAAAACCATTTCACAACAGGCTTAGAGTTTCTTTAGTTTGATCATTTCTTCTATATCCTGTCAGCAATATAAGTTTCACGGTCTGAGCCTACGCTGACAGCTTATGTCGTAATTTAATAGATACTATTATTCAACAGTTCAGGCGCACCTCAGTAAATACCCCGAGATGCTAAATTGATTGGTAAACTGTATACTGTAACATGTAAATTCAGACTTGCAGTTCAGGGAGGAGTGAAATGTGAAAATGAGGAATCCGATTCCCAGATTGCACCAGAGCTCACCTGTGAGGATGACTGCGAGGACGAGGAGGAAGAGGCGGGTCGACGGCTGCGGCGGCGACCCAGTTCCCGGTTGCTCCCCTGCCGCCATGGATCACTCGGCTGTGGTTGAAGCTCGAAGTCAAACTGCTCTTATCTCCCCCTTTCTCTCTCGCGCGCGTGCTCGTGTTGTGTGGTAAAGACGAGTGTGTGTCCCGCGGTAGAATGTTTGTGGTGGTAGCAGCGCGCGGATCGGCGATTCGGCGGAGGTGGGGCGTTTTTATGCAGTGCGGGTGGGGGGTGGCGCGCGGCGGTAACCGTCGGGGTGGCGAGCCGCGGGTGTTTGCTCGGCTAGTCACAGCTCAGCTAGCGCCGGACCGCGTCGCGCGTTGCGTGCGCGTGCCGTGGAGAGCGAGAGCGACGCAGCGGCAAGGCAGGAAAGCACGAGGAGCTTGTCTTGGAATTTGGATGGATCGGGGAGTGACTGAAACGGAAGCAGAGGCGCTGTGCTCCCCCGCTCTTATATAGTAGTAGCAACGGCTCGCCCCGATGCGTGCCGCGCCGGATGCCGCCACCGACCATCGGGTGCCTGGGCTGTATCTGGTAACGTACTTACGTGTATGTCGCTACTACCAGCTCAGCTCGCAGAAGCAGTTCCGTGCACCCCCGGCCCTGGGATGCCCTTTCCGGGTGGCGGTTGCGGACGGTGACGCGCGCGCCGGGCGGCTGCTGCGATCGAAACTTCCGCCCGCGGCACGAAACCTCCCCGCGCATTTCAGCGAAAATCGGACGGACTTATTACGGGCGAGTGGGGCGACACGACGACACGCGACGACTGGAAAGGGAAATCCAGGCGTTTTTTCCAGCGGCCAAGCCAAGATGTTCCCGCACGGTTTCGCCCAAAATGGAACGAGGTTTCGACTCGACTACCTGTAACAAACCGACGAAAATACGGCGCGCGCCGGCCCGGCCGCGAGGTTCCCGAATTCCGATTGGTTTCCGCCGTGGCGCGGCGGCCGCCACGCGGGGCGTGGCGGGGCAGAGGCGTCGGTGCGCGGTGATGGGGCGGTGGCGATCGACGCGGCCCGGTGTGGCCGCGTGGTGACGCCGTTCCGAGTCGGCGGCACGTGGATCCTGGGCCCCGGGACTACTGTGTGCGTCGTCAGACTCGCATACGGTTGGTGTGGCCCCCACGAGGGTCCGGCTCCCTTCACTCCTCGTCTCCGTGCCTTCTCTAGCCCTACCGTTGCCACTGGCTGCCAAGTTAGCCTGCACACTTTTTTATTTTAATGGTACCAATAGGAGAGTGTGTATTTTCATTGTATATAGCGGGAAAAAAATACAATCCCTATAGACAAAGAAAATGCGAAAGCCAAAATCTGTTTACTATACAAGGTGCGGGATAAGATCGCGCAATCGCTTAGCACCCGCTAACGCCCAAGTGCTAGCTTCTCCTTTTATTTTTGCGATGAGATACAATGTTATGGTCTCCTTGTGCTCGAAGATTCGCCCGTTATGCGCCTTCCATATTTCCTAAACAATGAGGAGGATCAGGGTGCGCAGCCCCTTTTTGGGATGCCAGTTGAAGTGGCTAACGTTTCCAACCAATCTTTGACCGTCTAAGTCGTCTCCCAATGCCGGGAATCGAGCTGATGGTATCCCACCCAATCCGCTACAAGGCTTCAAATTATTTTGGTATATCGACATTTCGTGATGAGGTGTAAGGCCGTTTCATCCTCTCCCCAACAGGGGGGCACTGCCCATTGTTCTGCCATCCCCTGTTTGTAAGCCAGTAAGAGATCCATACTCTGTTATGAATGATGAGCCAGGCATGAAGTTTACATTTCCCAGGCGCCCATGCTCTCCAAATCAACAGGTCAAAGGTCGTGTCGGGTGCACCAATGCATGTGCTTTGTAAGCTGACGAAGCCGAGTACTGCTCGTGGGTTATGAACTTCCATGTGATTTGGTCCGGTTCAAATTCATCCAGTTGCACGCCACAGACTGCGATCTATAGTGCCACGGGCTATTCAATAAGGGTCACTGTGATTTGCAGGTTTATCTCCAAGGCCAAATCTCCGACTCAGGCATCGTTTTCCTTTTCTTGGCGCAGCGACTTTCTCCTTTTCTAGGAGGTTGCATAGACTATGGGCATGGGTCTTTGACCCTGCTTCCTTTGATCCATGCATGGTCCTAGAAGCGCACCGTGTTTCTATCCCCGACTGCGATTCTTGTGGAAGCCGTGAACAGCCTGCACACATTTGCTACTAGGGGTAGACAGAAAAAGACCGAGACCGAGAAATTCGGTCCTAGGCAGTGAAAGACCGAATTTTGTTCGGTCAATTCGGTTAGTCTCCTCGGTTAACCGAAAGACCGAATTAACAAAAAAAAAATCTAAATGCAACCTACAATCCACTATGTTCAGTAGGATTAAATTCTAATTTTTACATCCCTACTTTTTCTAGGCATGCAACCTAATAAGAATCTTTACTTATAAGTGCTTATGAATTTTTTTTGTGATTTTTGTGTTGAAATTTTTCATTCTTTCTTTGCATATATGAAAATATTGTTGAATTTCGGTCAGGACCGAGACCGAATTTATCGATCCTGATATTTTTGCGTTGAAATTCGGTCTACACTTTTCAAAGACTGGAAGGATCAAAAGAAATCAGACCGAATGCCCACCCCTATTTGCTACGACAATATTGCCACGTCTACTGAGCATACAGCCCAGTCAACGAAGCTTTATGCGAGCGACAAGTACAAAGTTCGGAACTCACTCGTAATTCATAAAATAACTTTTGGGAGATGTTACTCCTGATGATTAGAAAACGAGGATCACAGGAAATTACAGTCCAGCACGACTTCAAACGCTACGAAGACGAATTCCTGGAACGTACGTGCACACAGCACGTACACTTCGCTCATGTGGCTGGCTGATCCAAGGATATCGAGCTCTGCCGGAGCATTACTCGGCCGGACCTGGAGGGAGGAACGAGAAGATCCGAGAGCAAAATCGTTTATGATGGTATTAGAGCGAGCATCTTCTATCTGATTGTCGCATATTATAAGCCTATCTAAATGATAGCATTCTAGCAAAGCCAGTTTTTTCGATGGCATATGTGCAAATTTAAGCCAGTTTTTTTCGATGGCATATGTGTAAATTTCTTCTCACTTGGCGCTACTCAGGCTAAAGTTGTTGCATGTAAAGCAAATTTTATCGGTCTGCTTTACAATGACATATTTCCGGTCATGCAGGACCAAACCTCGAACTACCTGAGCGTGATGTTCGGAGCTTTATGCAAGCATGACTCGGATCAATCTTGTGATTCATGTCAATAATTTAATATGCTATACATTCGAATCATCGATGTTCCCTTTTCATTGGGAACCATTACGCTAGCTACAAACCGTCTTTCAGCCAGTTCATCGTCTTTTGTTTCATCGGCTTTTGTTTGCCCCCATCACCCTGGACGGACAGATCATCCTTCACCTAACGCCGACCGAATATCCTGTGCAGATACACTCGAATCAGTTCGATGCATTCATGTACACGCTGGCACCCTCCATTTGTAGGCATTGCGCTGCTTTTTCCCCATTGCACCTACACCAAAACCCACCGGAGCCCCATTCTGAAACTTCAGTCTCATCAGCCACCAACACGTACCAGCCAGGATCAGAACAAGTTCAGAGTTCAGAAAAAAGAGCGAATCCCCATTCCGCCGGCAATCCTTCATTCTGTCGAGATCGAGAGAGCTTTCCAGTTTCCATGGTGGTAATGTGGTATACTTTGTTCAAGTGGCATAGCTTTCAGTTCACGTCGTGCAGCAACCAAAACCATCCAAATAATTGCGCTCTCTACCGGTGGCCTTTCGGTGATGCGACACCTGCTGCTGCAAAACATGCAAGACCAATCCAATTCGATAGTATTTGTTAATTTCCATAACATATGGCTGAAAATGGCAAGGACATATTCAAGTGTACCACATTTGCATTATTCTGTACAATCAGTATATATTGCGTGGATTATTTCGCTTTCAATATATACTGAAATATTCCTGAAAGCTTCATCCCTTTTTGATTCTTTCTCATGGACGCCGCGAGAACGGCGGCGAGAACTGAAACCGATTGCTGCATAATGCAGCATCCCCGGCCATCGACTTCACGACAGGCTTGACAGATTCCGAGATATCCATTGAGAACAATGCAGAGACAAGAACGTACACTTAACTCAATCCAAGTGGAAGATGACGATAAATTCTGGCTAGTTTCAACGGCAAGTGCATGTGCAAACCACAGTGTCAAGATTGCATCGAAAGTGATGGATCAAATCATCAAGTGCAACGCAGCTAGCTAACTAATACAGGTCTGCCTCCTTGTGCGTCTGGATGACGCTGTTGGCGGTCGGGTACGCGACGCAGGTGAGCACGTAGCCGGCGCCGACCTGGGCGTCGTCGAGGAACGACTGGTCCGACTGGTCGACGCCGCCCTCGACGACCTTGCCGGCGCAGGTGGAGCACGCGCCGGCGCGGCACGAGTAGGGCAGGTCGACGCCGGCTTCCTCGGCCGCGTCCAGGATGTAGGTGTCCTCCGGCACCTTGATCACGCTCTCCTGCCCCTCCGGCCCGATGAGCTTCACCGTGTAGACGGCGGCGGCGGCGCGGATCAAGTCGCCGCGGGCTCTTGACGAGCTCAGGTGGAGCGTCGTTCGCCTCGTGCCGTCGTTCGGCGAACGCGTCGTCGGCAGGCGCAGGGTGTCGCGTGGCTTGGCGCTGAGGTTGCAGAGAATTGGTGTGGTGACGGTAGTTGTTGCCATCTCTCGAAGTCTGGGTATTCGAGACCTGAAAAATAATGGTGATCAGAAGCAAGAGAGGAGATGCTATATTTATGGCGCCATATTTTCCATCAAAAAAAATAGTCGACATGTATTTACATTGTAAGTCCCTAATTACATATGTAATTTTAGTGTATTTACAATGTAAGTCTCAAAATTACATATGTAAGTACTAAAATTACATATGTAAATTCGAAAATTACATACTAATTACATATGTAAATGGGGTGTAAATGAGGTGTAACTACTGTGTAAGTGGCTGAAAAAAAATCGACTGTAGCATATAGCACCATATTTCTAGCAACTCCGTAAATAATTGCATTCAGTAGATCAGCTGGCAGACGATTAATATGAACCTTCTACTAATAAATAATTTCTTGTCTCAGGATGTACAGAACTGAACTCTGAACGCCCATATTCCAACGTAATTTCTTCTTTCAACCAACATTTTTTCACGTTTCAGTTGGAAGAACAAACATTTGGCAGAGCAGAAAAAAAGAAGGCAGAGCATCATAGTAGGAAAGCACTGAAAAGAATTTGACAAGCCAATGGTCAAGGAAGAAACTGAAACCTTCTGGGAAGCAAATACTAATTTTTGAAAGGAACAAAAAAAATTTTGAAAGGAAGGAAGTAAATACTCCCTCCGTTAAAAAGGTCACAATGGTCACAGTGGAGATCCTGCTTTACTTTTTAAAAATAATTTCAATGGTCACAATGCTTAAAAAGGTGTAAAGTTCTTGTACTGTCGAACAAGACAAATTGTGTTCACTGAATAGCTATTGGATGCCCAAGCTACCGTGTTCTTATTTCTGGATAAAGAGTACTTCTGAAAGCAAGGATTAACACCCAACTTTGGTTTTCCAACAATCTTAGCAGGAAATATACAGAGAAATGTCTCTTGATGAGATATCTAATCTTGTCACATTCATCGCTAGCAAATCCATATACATAAACTCTTCCCTGGATCTTTCTCACTAGTATTAAATTCAAACAGAGTATTAGAAGTTATGAATAACAGTTGTAACATTAGAAGCTGGATGCACAGCTACATTTTCTCGAATTGCAATAATTTTAATTTTTCAAGGAAAAAAAATTATCAGCTCTTTGAGGAAGTGTTGCTGTGCAAGCCATTGTTAGAAACAAACTTGAACTGCAGATAATGGTATTACAGTCAACTACCTGATGCAGAAATAAAACTAATTTAATCCAACCCAACTGCCATTCGGATATATTTGGATATGGATTGGATCAAAGGTGCATGACGCATCACGTATCAAGTTGAAGTTGGTAGTAATGAACAGTCTGTTCCATTTCCGTGGGAAGCTCTACGTGGTTCATTGTCATCCCCACTTACATCCACTTTAATACATTCTAATAATACCAAGCTTTTAGAAACTTACTAGCTAGCAGTATAAAGATAGCGATGAAAAAAAAATCCTTTGCCACAAGTACTTGCAATAAGGGTGTGGATGGCAACTTTGGGACTTTCACAAGCAAACGTTAAGTATTTGCAGCATTTCTCCATATTACTATGTAAAGATATTTTACAGTTCTTAATAAGGAGATGCCAATGCAAATTTTGGTACCACAAAATGGCAGTGTAGCACTAAAAACTACAGCAGCTTCGGATTCCCTCTCAATGTTTTTTTTTATAAAAAAAAATCGGATACCCTCTAAGGCCCTCTTTGTTTAGGCTTATAAGCCAAAAAGTCTAAATCTAAATAAACAAGTAGCTTTTTCGTTTGACTTTTTTAAAGCCATAAACCACTATAACACTATTAAGCCAAAAGTTACGTTGGAGAAACTTTTTTGGCTTATATGAGGTAGATGTATAACTCTAGCACTAAACTTAGAACATTAAATCCACTGACTTATAAATCATGTAAGCCAATAAGCTGACTTAAAAGTCTAAACCAATAACCCTAAACCTAAACAAAGAGGGCCTAAGTGATTTGATATTGTTATAAGTGAACCCCGAAATGATCACTACCATATTAGCAAGTTCGACACAACTGATTGTCCAAGTGCTTGTCTGCAGATTTGCCGTGTTTGACAGATGGCATGCCGAGTGAATGGAGTATATGTGGAGCAATTCAGGGCAAGCTGAAGAACTACAATGCAGTAACCCCCTTTAATTAAGATACTGAAAGAACTGCATGTATGGTATTTTTTTTTCTTTTTTCAGATTTGGACACCTACAGAAGAACGAAACTGGAGCTACGAGGGCCACCCGTATGAATCATATGGAGAAGAGCATACATGAGGCTACCTAATCTATAGGCTTCAGTTGGTTACTAAACTTACAAGTTCGACCCAACTGGTCTTACTCCACATTTGCGATGTTCAACAGATGTCATGACCAGTTCAGAATGAAATGATTATACATTTACACAGATAACTCCCTTCAAAAAACAGTTTCACAGTCTCACAGACAAACAACTGCACTGTATATAGTATCCCCCTCTAGGGTCCAGGCTGCTAGAAGATCTGCATACATTGTCTAAATTACTCAGATTTGGATGCAAGTCATGCAACCAGAGCCTTTTGCTCTCACCACAGGAAGCAGCGCATTCGTCCAAAAGGAGAAAAGAACGGAAGCAGAAACGGAAACAGAAATCGAGACTACCCGCAAGAAGCTAGCGTGAAGTACACAAGAGAATTAATTAAAACTACGTAATGCTGCGCGGGATCGCTTTCACGTCACCAAGGCGCCGCACGCGGTGATCAACCCGGGGAAGGGAGCGCGCGCGAGACTGACCTTGCAGCAGCAGCAGCAGCAGCAGATTATCCGCCCCGGTGCTGGAACCCAATCCGAAGCTGGCCGAGGCGGCGACGGCGACTCGGCGAGGAGAGTGGAGCGAGAGTACTGGACTACTGGGAGCAGGAGCGGTGACGGACTCACGGGTGGTTGTGTTTCGGATTAGAGTGAGAGACAGAGAGAGAGACGGCATGCACAGTTGCACAGCGATGCAGAGGGTTCGGTCTTGAACCGTGGCTCACTAGCTACCTCGCTAACTGCCACAGTGTCCAGCGGAGGTGGCAGGCACGAGGCAGGCAGGCAAAGGACGCATGCGACGGTGACGGCTACGGGGAGGCCAGCGTGAGTGCGTGAGAGCAAGGCAAAGCCACCCTGTGGGCGGGGGTGGTTGGGCCCATTGTATGGGGGAGGAAAATGTGGGCTGGTCTGACACTGCAGCAGCAAGACGGGCCACTGGGCCACGGGCGAGCGGCTATTGGGCAGCAGCATCGGCGCGTGCAGCCGTCCAGGGCCTTCAGGGACCAGACATCGAAATGGCGGTATACTTTATAGGAATAAGTCCATTTAACCTCCCTCATCTCTTGTGCTTATGTGAATAACATCCCTCAACCGGAAAACCGGGTATAACGCCTCATTCTTCTCTGAAAACCAGAGCAAATCACCTCCCTCGGCGGTTTCGGAGGCGGTTTTGTCCTACGTGGCACTTACGTGGCGGGTTGACTTCCATGTGGCATCGACGTGGCGCTTACGTAGCACTAAAATAAAAACAAATGTAAATGGGACCCACATGTCAGTGAGTAAAACAATAAAAACATATTATTGGGCCCACATGTCAGTTGCCTGCGCCGCCGTCGGATGCTAGGCCAAAGACAATCCCCACCGTCGCCGACAACTTCTGCAGCCTGCTCAAGTCCGGCGAGACCCTCATTCGCTTCGCCTTCCTCGGCAACTCCGGCCACCCGCCTCCGCCTCGGCCGCAGCCGCGGCATCACCCACACCACCACAACCACCCGGGGTGTACGCCTCATGAGCTCGAACTCTCGATCAACAACCATGGTGATTACCTGCTTCTTCACTGAGACGCTCGCGTTGCAGGCTGAGATCATCAAGCGGCTGCAGCGGGAGAAGTTCGTCGACATGATCAAGCACATGGACGGGCACGAGCAGATCTACCGTCTCGTCGCGCTGTACACGAGCAGCGCCAAGGTGTTCCACCTGCCGGAGCTCCCGTCCGGGTGAAGGTCGCGCTCGACGCGGCCGGCGCGCTGCTCCTCGTCGACGGCGACGAGCTCGAGCAGGCGAGGGATAGGCTCGTCAAGGCCAGGAACACGACGGGCCTCAGCTCCAGGTTCGTCTTCGAGTCGAGCACCCGTGGCGGCAAGGACACCGTCACCGCGGAGCTCGCCACCGGGCTCGGGGTGGCGGCGGTAGGGAGCAGCGGCGGTGGCGGTGGGGACGGCGGTAGGCAGCGGCGGAGCAGTGGCGACGGTAAGGCGGAGAAGGCGGCGGCGACGGAAGACGTCGGGCTTGCCACCGCCACCCACCGCTACAGACTTTCCGCCGACGAGCGCCGCTGCCGCTCAGCCTTTCCGCCGACAAGCGAGCAAGCTCGAGCTTGCTGGCCGACCCACGCCTAGGGAGCAGCGTCTCCTCCTCGAATCCACGCCACCTCTCTCGACCGACCGAGCGCGTCTCCATCCTCCGAGCTCCGCGCCCTTCTCCGCCCCGACGACCGGCCGCCGTCTTCGTTGTGGGGACCTTGCCGCTACCCAGGAGCGCCGTCGCCGCCGGCCACCGCGCGCCTCTCCCCGTCAGCCGCCACCGACGCCGAGCTCCTCCCCGCCAGTCTACTCCCCGTCCGTCGCTAGCGAGCGCCGCTGCCACCAACGAGGGCCACCGCCGGCCGCCGCGCGCCTCTGGTTCTCCCCGCCAGTCGCCGGAATACACCTCTATATTAGGAGCAGATATTCCGCCACCGCCGCCGCTCCCTACCGCCGCCGACGCTGCTCCAGCCAAGGTTCAGAGAAAAGGCCGAGGGAGAGAGAGAGAGATAAGGGAGAGAGAGGGGAAGGAGGAAGAAGGGAAGGAGAGTTTGCACTGACATGTGGGTCCCACTACGCTGAGTCAGCTTGTCAACCGGGTCAACAACGCCACGTCGGACGAAACCGCCAGCTAAACCACCGAGGGAGATGATTTGCTCTGGTTTTCAGAGAAGGAGGAGGCGTTATACCCAGTTTTCCATTTGAGGGGTGTTATTCACGCAAGCGCAAGAGATGAGGGAGGCAAAATGGACTTATTCCTACTTTATACAAGGAAAAAAACTATACAACATTTATTTTTTAATATCGGCTAGTTCGATTGGTTTAGTCACTAATTCAGTTTGCTTCGAGCATTTATCCGCTGAGAAATATCTCACAATTGTTTGGGTGACGATCTCTGGGTCAAAGTCAAGAGTACATATTACCTTTTTTTTTTTTGCTTGGAACGACATTTAATAATATAGTTTTTAACAAAATATATTTCTTCTTCTTTGCAGGTTATCTTTTTATCATGCATTGACTTTGGTCTCGGGCTATCATCCATAAGCCTAGTTTGTAGGGGTTTACTACTGCGACTAATTTGTATTTAAAGTAGGTGGCCAGAGAGTTTTTCTACCTCGTACACGGATGGCGATCTAGTCTTCGAATAGAGATCCTTGATCAAGTTATAATTTAGTTTTCTTCCGTGGGTATCTGTATGTAGGCAGTGTGAACTATCACGATACAAAAGTCGAGTGTCCTTAGAACCAGTGGTGTGGATGATGAAAGAAAATATAGGTATTGCCATGAACTTAATATAAACATAAGCGATAAAACTCTAAGCAAACGGCAAGGTTCAACGTGATCCCATAGTAGGCCGGGCAGTAATAGAACGTGACGCCTATTCACTAATACATGTGATATGCTTAGGCATCGGGTTGCCATCAATGCCAATACACCCATCCGTTGTATGCCTCTTACATTCAGTAATAGAAATCCCTAGCCAAGTTAGCACCAAGCATATACATGGGCATTAGATTTACTAGCTAGTTTAAGCAAGTCTCGATCCATACAGGTTACAGGAGATTGAACAGAACTCACACAAGCTGCATAGTGAGACATGAGATCTAGTCGAGTTGGCTCGACTAGATCACTCGGCGACTTGGCTCCTGTAGGCTCCGGCTTCCTAGACTGTGGTGGATGTGTTCCGTGTATGTTGATTCCCCTCTCTACTCCTAGGGGGCCTTGTATTTATACCCATAGATGTTCCCTTGTCCAAGTAGAACTAGGGAAACTAATATGAATACAATCCGGATAGTCCTTGTCGTTTCCATATAGAACTCTATTCATCTTTACTTATGCGGAACTCTTCCTATATCCGAAAGTTGTTTCCGTATAAGATATGGTATATGGTGGGTCCTGCCGAGATTTAGTCAACTAATATTAGGTATATGGTATCCATAGCTCTGACACATATTAAAGTTTTTCCTTTAAGTGAAACTGTCTAGGGAGAACACAAAATTTCATCTAGTATGAATATGACTAGAGATATCCAAAGAAGCTGCTTTAAAAACCAAATATATGAGAAATATAGCGAGTATTATCGAGTAGGGATTTAAAAAACTATGAAAAAGGACGACTACCCTGTTTCAGTTTCACATCCTGAAACAATATGAAGTAGTGCACAAATAAAAAATAATTACTCGACATAAACTAATACTACTAGTAATAAATATACAAATAAATATATAAGTACTATATACATGTAGTTTTAATAGTTAAGTATATATGTCCCTACCATTCACCCCCTCTTTGGTAGGCTTGGTTACTTGTGTTCGATCCTACAAGTGGTATCAGAGCCTAGCTAGGTTAACATCTTTGGCCCCATGGACACAGTGTGTGAAGGCCTGATGGACCGTGGGTGCCTGCGGGGCTCGTATACCTGATGGACCGTGGGCCAGTGGGGCCCGGATATGATGAAGGGGCGGTGAAGGGCTGAGGGACACCAATGTGTGAAGGGGGAGATTGTTGAATAGTCTTACATTGGTTGTGGAAGGGCGAAAGACCTAAGATATAAATGGGGGAGCCCCTCACCTCAATGGCTAGCTTTTGGGGTGGGAAAGGCCCTTTTAGATCTTACATATATGTAGTCGTTATGATGTCCGAGGTGGTTCTCTGTGTGTAAAGAGTTTATTGTGGCCGGTTTGTTAAACTACATATGCATGCAAGTATAGGATTAATTTCACAGGCTGCAGTGGTTTGATAAACACCCGTATAAATGATATCATTTTTCTACCAGCGCACGATTCATTCTTATATGTATATTAGCAAATATATGAATATTTTGCTATACAGAGTTTGATTGCACATACTTCAGAACACAACAAGTACTATATTTACTTACTGGAGTAATACATTAGTTGCAACGAAGTATAGTTTAAATCAGTTACAGTGTATAAGATTAAGACATGCAACCACTTTCAACCACAGCATTTTCATGTAACATATGTAAGTGTTGGACTATATAGCTGTAGCTAGCTAATTCAACTAGTTATTACTACTGCTGTATTACTAATTAATTTTATGACTGCATACTACTCCTCTCTTTTTTCCTTTCTTTTTTATGACACGTTAGTTAGTTCAAAAATATATCAAAACATTTCAAAATGGAGGTATTATATTATAAACTACTCTACAGCTAGTTATGGTATATATGTTACCAACTGTTCTTTCAATATGCAGGATTGTTCATGATTCTAGTAAGAACAGGCATTCCCAGGATTATTGAATTGAAGAGGGTTGCTAATAATATGAGGATATATTTCTCCTCGCTTTCTGAAAGAAGTACAGCATGTAGGCCAAAGGACTTTCGTGGTACACCTTAGTCCACGATCATTTTTATTTGACCATGGATATGCATATCTTCTGACTTCTAGAAGGTAATTCCACTTGTGTATCAGGCAAAAATGAGATACTCTTGTATTAATTGTTTGAAGAAAATTGCATTAATACAAAACCACAGTACACGTGTAGTTATGGAGATATTCTTTTGAATATACCTCTGAATTTCATAACGCTTCTTCATAACTTACGCAAAGATCAAAAAGGAGGCAATGACTTGAACCATATATAGCGAAAGGACTGTGTAGCATAGTGCTTTAGAGTGCTCTTTTTTTTTTTCCTTTATACCTATATAGGGTTTCACTTGTGCAGTTCTTATCTGTCATATTCAATACAATTGGCATAATCTCAGTGTCAGTTTGTTAAAAAAAAGAATTATTATGTACAAGCGTGCTTTCCAAGTTGATAAACGATGTGATTTTCATTTTTTTTAAATATTTTTAATCAATTTATAAGTTTTTAAATATTTAATTCACTTCTATGTACTCTCCAATAATAGTTATAAATTCATCTTCATCAATTATCTGTCACCTATAAAGACCATAATATATAGTAACTAGATACATATCGACGCTGATGATTTAAGTTTTGACCTCAGTACGTACGCGTACATGCTAGATGATCACGTCTTCAATGATAACAAGAAATTGCTCATGAGAATACTAGTAGCACGTTATCAACAAGTAAAGACGCAAAGCTGAACAAATATTTTTCCTCTAGCGAAGAACAAACGAAAGAATGACAGGAAACCACGTCATTAGTTGTTGAAAAGGTTCGCCGCCAGGAAATAATTAGCAAACGCAATGAATTCTTAGATGGCGATCTAAACCTGCCCGATCGATCGCACGTACGATACCCACATTAATTTCACACGATATTTTCCTAAGCAAACAATCTAAATCAATTGATTAAAGCATGTATATATAATTATTCCAGCGAAAGCTTAAACTAGCTACATGTGATGATATGATATGTATGCTAGCTAGCTAGCCATAATTAACGCTAGAAAGGATGATCAAAATATATCAGTGATAGTTAATTTCTATTACTGCCGCTAGTGGTCGGTTCGAAACTGGCAGTTTACCGCCCGGTTTTCGAATTTGCAGGGATTATTGGATTAGCATTTCTGTACTAGCTAGTGTGACAATATCACCGGTAGCGTTGTTCTTTAAGTAGCTTTGTGTGAGTGTGTGATGACAACGTACTGACGAGCTGGAACACATCATTAGAGATAGCAGGGTATACAATCTAATCAAACTCATATATACATGACAAAACCCTTTCTTTATGCAGGGAAAGCTCATATATGTGTAAATCAGTAAATGTAATTCACACTATCATCAGAATTAGAAGTTTAGAACAGGAAAAAAAAAGGACCTTCACAACTCGGAAACAAGAAGGGTAATATCTCTTATTTGAGCAAAAAAAGAAGGCGTATGCACGCGGCTAGCTAATATGGCTAGTGAAGCTGGAGGCGAATTGAAGCGCTGCTAGTAATCAAGCTCGATAATCAGGAGCAGCTTTTTTGCACCCGGAGAGGGCTGGATCTGGCGGGCGGCGTCGTCGTCCGGTCCGGGCGGCGTCGTCGTCCGGTCCGGGCGGCGCGCGCAGCACTCGGCGACGAGCGCCCGGCGCGCCGTGAGCAGGTCGGGCGGCACGAGCGGGCGGTCGAAGGCGGCGCAGTCCACCCAGTCCTTGAGCAGCTTCTCCTGCCCCCACATGTCCGGCACCCACACCCTCCCGGCCATCTCCCGCCTGTGCCGCTTCAGCCTCTCCCGCGCGCTCTCGCCCTGCAGGCCATCGTCCTCCTCGGCTTCCTTCAGCTCCTTCTTCGCTACCTGCTCCTCCTCTGACGCCGTCGACGAACCCTCCGCGGCGTGCTTGGGAATAACCGCCGCCGCCTCACTGGAATCGGACGTCGTCTTGGCGGCCACCTCCTCTGATTCCGACTCTGACGTCGACGTCTCCGCGGACTGCTCCAGCTGTGCCGCTTCATGGTGATCTGACGTCGTCTCGGCCGCCAGCGGGAGGCTTATTTCCTCCGTCGTCGGCACCAGCTGGTCGCCGCCGACGCCCATGCATGGCTCAGCCGGGTGATCCATGCCCGGCTCCGGCACCTCTTCGACGTCGCCGGAAGTCGCCATGCGGCCGGCTTGCTAGCTTAGCCAATCAACCTCTTAAGCTTACGCACACGCACACACACACGAACGAACGGCAAGCAAGCTAGCTACCGCAGCAGCAGCGGCTCCCGGCTGCCTTCCTTTGCCGGTGATATAAGTTCTCGCCTCGCGTGTGGGGGAAAAGATCAGGGTAGTAGGTGGTGGGGGACGGGTGGGGGAAGAAGCGGACACGTTACGAGGAGAGGGGAGAAGAGAGGAGAGACGGAGGCGACGCTTATGCATGGTGGCTGCGAGGGGAGCGTGGCCTGCTGCCTGCCTGCCTCCGCGCTTACTAGCAAGCAAGCGCGCACGCGGATCGGAGCGCAACCCGCAACCACCAGTAGCGCGCCCGTAGTATTTGCGTTGGCGGAGCGGGGCTGCATCGTGAGGCTGGGAGGCAGCGCGGGGCGGCCTGGACGCAGGAGGGCCAATGGGTTGATGCCACCAGCAGATTTGATTTTTTCTTTGCAGGGTCCACATACACACGGAGAGCACCCGGCCCGGCGCTGCTGTCCGTCGTCGGCGTCCATTAACGTCAATAATCTGACCCCGCCGGCAGGCAGGCACTGCATCGATCGAGCTTGGCAAGCTGAACGCTACGGTTGGAGGTGGATGCTAATCTTGGACGTTCATGCAGTTGCCTAATCATGGTCCGTGTGTTGGTCACTTGTTCACTTGGACTTCGGAGAGGCATGCAGTTATTGTACCTCACATATTTAGCGTCAGACGGTGCCATTCATCACAGCTGCATTTCACTTGGGACAAAACGGAAACATGTTGATGCAACGATTGTTGCTCTCTTGTCAGATTAATTTGGAACATCATATATAGTGTGCTTTTGACCTCAAAACGGCTAAAGATTGCCAACATCTTTTTGGGACTTGGCTTTCTGCTTTCTCAAATAAAACCAAAAATCTGATTGTCATTGGTATTGCTGCTGTAATCTGGACTGTTTAGAAGACCAGGAATAAAGTCTGCTTTGATAAAAATTTGCCTAATGATCCCACTGATGTAGTTTTCTTGGTTTGCCACTGGATGGAATCATGGGCTCTTTTGTAGAAGCTGGAGGCAGATCAAAGAAGGCTGCTCTTGGGGCCAAGCTCATAAGACAAATTGCAAGTGAAGTGTACAACTCCAGATTTGGATGGAGGCCGGTGGGGAGGCTGCAGTGCTGATCTTTTGCTGTTGGGTTTTCGGTCCTTGTTAGTCCCTGAAGTCTTGTTAGAGCAGGTACAATAGCAGGCTATAAGCCAGCTATAAACATATTTTAAAGAGATAAATGAAGAGAGAGAAGAGCAGCGGGCTACAGATCAGTAGCCAGCTGCAGCACGGACTCCAAGACGTAATGTGTGTATGACAGGTGGGACCAGGTATTAATAGTATAGTAAATAACTATTGTATGAATTGGCTATTACATTGGCTATAGATGATTTGGTGCTAGTAGTGGGATATACTATTAAGGGCTTATTTGGTACAGCTCCAACTCCTCAATTTAACTCCAGGAGTTGGGTCTGGAGTGGAATTGTGGAGCTGTCTAAACCCAGCTCCACAACTTTAGTTCATTTTGTGAGAGAGCTCCACCCAACTTCACTCCCAGTTTTGGTGGAGCTGAAACTGTTTGGCTGAGCTCCAGCTCCAGGAGGGGTGGAGCTTGTCAGGGTTACGGATAAGGTATACCCTCTACCCTTGGATATATGTCGTGTATTGATATGGTATACCTGCACGTATACGGACGCTTTATGTACACGTTAAGGAAATCCATCACGGAGTCCACAGACGGAAGGAGTCCTACTCGAATAGAACTGGGTCGTCATTGTATTGTGTAGGATCCGATGTCTCCGAGTTCTACTTGGAGACCAACTGACCTGCGGTATAAAAGGGACCCCCTGGTAGGACCTAAGGCATCAAATCTCATAGCCAAGACAACCACCACAGCCTTACGAAGCCGGAACCTACAGGAGCCAAATCGCCGGGTGATCTAGTCGAATCAACTTGACTATGGTCTCGTCGGTATCATCGAGTTCTGCTATTCCCTTTGTAATCTGTGGTTTCCACTATATAATCTCATATCAACTGCATTAGGGCTATTACCTATCAAGGGGACTGAACCAGTATAATCCATGTTTTCCGTTTCCTTGATGTCGTACTACGTAGATCCTCGTACCAGTGTACCCCAATACCCTCTATATCTGGTCTACGAGTATCCTCCGTCGACAGAGCTGGAGCTGGAGCTGTGCCAAACAGGCCCTAAACTTGCTCTTATGCAAGTTTGAGGATGGGGATGTGTTCTTCTATGTCTTCTGGACAGTTCTAGTCTGGAAAAAACAGCCAGTGTGTTGGCCTCCTTTTTTTTATTATTATTGTTTCAGTTTGTAAGACTTGCTTTTGTAATCTGTCATTTCTAGTAATGGAAATGGGGGCTTAATGCCCTTAGTCTAAAAAAAATGTTGATGCAACGATTGTGGAATTAACGACTACAAACATTCCATCCCCTGTAGCACAACAATTAAGTAACCGAGGGATGCACAACCATTAGTTACTCCACTGTGATGGATTCTAATATCTCGGATGGACATCCACTCGTTTCTTGTATGTCAACTAAATGATTATGAAAAAATTTCATAAAAAATTACAAGATAGATTAATATGTAATATATCACTTTAGAAATATGCAAGTTCAAATTCGATTTCTAAAAGTTGTAACTAAAATAACAAGAACTTGTTATTTTTGTTGCAATTTGTAGAAATCAAATTTAAACTTTGCATGTTTGTGAAGTGATATATTACATATTAACCTATCATGCTAATTTTTTTGAAAAAAATTTCATAACCATTAAAATGACATGCTAGGAATGGGTGAACGTCCACCCCGAGTGTTTAAAACAGTTTCCAACTCCACTGTTCCCTGACAAAGAAAAACGAATGCAGCATGTCCACTTGTCCACGCGCAGGTGGCCCAAGAGGAAAGAGCAGGAGAAACCTCCAGTCACCACACCAACAGGAGAGGAGCGAGGCCAGAGAGAAAGAGGGTAGTAGTAGTAATGACGTCCTCGTTTATATTCCCGTTGTCGGCTTCCTCTTTTCTTGGACGACGATGCCTTCCCTAGTCCGGGCGTACGTCGATGGCTGCTTTTCTCCGTCCGCCCCAACCCGATTCCGCGACCGAAACAATCGCTGAGAAAAGACGCGCGCGTGCCCGCGTCGTCCTTCCGTCTCACGCGTGCCCGATGTGATGAGGTGATCGCGCGAGGCACGGCGCGCGGGTGGTGATCGGCAGCGCCACGCCCAGCGTGCGGCGCGGCCACTCATCACGGGGGGTTCGAGCGGGAGGAGACGCCGGTGCCGTCACACGCGCGCGGATGCTGCGATCCGTGCTCCGTTCTTCCTCGTCCGCTCGCGCGCGGCGCGCCAGCCACTGGATCGATGGATGGATGGATGACGCCGACGTGGGGACGGTGCTGTCGTCTCGTTCCTGCGGTTTCCGGTGGTATAGTGATGCCCGCTTTTCTCTCTTGTCGTTTTGCTCGTTGGAGCAAAATTAACACGAGCGCAACCAAAAGCATGGGAGTATATATTCGCGTACCCTGTTACTACTCGTAGTAGTTGGTATAGAAACTTTGTTGCAAACCGTAGAGTAGCCTTCAACGATGGTCGCGCCAGAGAAAGAAAAATTCCCAAACCGTTCGATTCCAATTAAGTTATTCGATTTGTTTCACGGAGAGCAAGTGATGGCCACGGAAACATGGAGGGAAAAACGTTGAAATGGGCCACGTAATGGGCCGACCGAGAGGACAGAGGAGGGTGTAGTTAGGGAAAAGTCTGACTTCAACAAAATATAGTCTAATCTGATTCATCTCTCTACCGTATAATCGGGTATAACGACTCCTTCAACTACTAAAACCGGTGCAAAATGATTCCTAGGTAGTATTGAAGGTGGTATTCGCTAATGTGGCGTCCATGTAGTATTCGCTGATGTGGCGTCCATGTATCAGTCCGGTCATCAAAGATATTAAAAAGAAATAAGTAGGACTCACATGTCATCCTCTCCCCTCTCTCCCCCATGGCCCCATGTCTTCTCGGACTTCATCAGCAAGGCGGTGGGAAATTGAGGAGAGGGTGGTGTGTCGACAGTGGAGGAGCTCAGGGGAGCTATGCCCCCTCCTCCCCCCTGTCCCCCCCCCCCACACACACGTCTTCTCGGTGATAGCCGGGCAACGAGGCGACAACAGAGGGGGGAGGTTGAGGTCTGCGTTGTTTCGGCATGCGTTGGCCGTAGGAGGGGCGCCCATGCTTCCATGTCATAGAAGGAAGAGGTCCCAGCTCGTGTGGTTATTGTTTCCGCCACCTTGTCAGCCAATATGGCCAATGTATCGCCCCTATGCTCCGATGCATCGGCGGTAGCAGGTTGGGAGCTAGGCACGCGGCAGAACAAGTAGAGCGGCTGGAGGCAATAGGGTGAGGGAATTAGCGGTGGTGGAACTAGTTGAGCTGCGGGCAGCAACAAAGTGAGGGAGATGGGTGGCGACGGCTTATCCACCCTGGGAATCCAAAAAGGGCAAATAGAGGCGGCAACCTCCACATCTCGCTTCCCTCAGACACTACCTACATCTCCATGCCTCCGTCGCCCCAACCACTCGAATGAGCCATGGGAGACGCAACCACGACGATGACCCAACCTCGATGGGTTCGTCTACCACCGTCTTCTTTCCTCCGCCGTGGACCTCGGAGTGGGGGAGGTCAAGCTAGGGAGTCCCCAATTCTCTCTCTCTCCTTTCTCTTTCACTCCACTCTCTTTGCCTCGAGCTCAGCTCACTGCTTGGCAGGAGTACCAGAGGAAGATGGCCACTGACACGTCGCGAGATGGCCATGTTGCTCTAGGTAAGCGGTGTGCTCCGAGCCTCTAATAGTTGACTCGGTTGGGGGCGGGGGGCTCGTCACTGATAGGAGCTTAGGTGAGCACCTTGCTGCCGCCCACCATTGCCTTGCTACATCCTGCCGCTGCCCAGGTACCATTCTACCGCTGAAAGGAAAAGGGAAGAGAGCTGAAGGGTAAGGGAAGGAAGAGAAGAAAACGAAGGGTGAATCAGAAGTGGACCCTACATGCTGACCCAGCTAGTTCAACTAGATAAACGTGCCACGTCAGGAAAAAAGCCACTCTCAAAACTGCCGAAGAAGTCAAAATACACTGATTTTAATAATCAGATTGCAGTTGAGGAATACAAATTAGATTGGACCTATATTTGTGGGAGTTAAAGTGGACTTATTTCTAGTTGTGCCTAAGCAACCCGACCAGACCAAGCCTTATGGGCCATAGTTTCTCGGTCCAAACGAAAACGAAACGCAATCCTAATGCGATTAGCCCATAACGAACTTGAACTTAGAGTTACACAGGCCGCGGTTCAAACACGGTGGGGAAGAACAGTCTCGGGCAGAAGTGTAGAAATCCGGCAAATTTCTCAATCATCCTAAATTGGGAAATCTTATTAAGTCACCACGAGCTGACGACCAGCTCATTAACTATCAGGGCCAGCAATATGTACTTAATGAAGGACGGGAAAAGCACACTAGAGGAGTTCGAATCAGGAGGCCTGAGGTGGCTGATCCCCGAGCAGCAGCGACTTGACGATGGTGTCGGCCATCCCGTCGGCGAGAGGGAACATGTGGCCGGACTTGGGGAGCTCGTGGTAGACGACCCAGGGGAGTTTCTCGCTGAGGTACCTGGACAGGCTGACCGGCACGATCAGATCCTCGGCGCCGTGCCACAGGTGCACCTTCCCTTCGCCGCCGGCGAACGGGTCCTCGAGCTCCAGTGGGCTCCAGCTCCACTTCCCGAATCCGACTGTCATGTCGCGGTGCAGGCAGCCATACTCCCCCTGCTGCCTTATCTGCGGCTGCGACAACGACACGCAAACCGATGAGCAAAACGCCAGTTACAAGCAAATATGCAATGCAACGTGATGAAGTAATCCAGTGATCCTTACCATGTAGGTTCGGAAGGCGAACTTGGACAGGAGGAGCTTGTCTCCTTCAGAGAAGAGAGCCGGGTTGTAGGCGATGACGCTGGAGGCAGGGAAGAGCTTCTGGGAGTTCCACCAGTAGGTGAGCCATGGCAGGTGGTGTGAGACCCAGACCGCCCACTTATCCTGCGGGAGCTGCTGGTTCCAGACGTGCCACGACATGTTCGACGGCAAGCCGGACCACCAATAGTTGCCCACGGGGGCAAGAATGGCCACCCCGGCGAGCCTGCATGAATAAACACATTGGTCAGAGTTCAGAAATTTGCAGTCCTGCCATAGATTTTTCAGAGAAGAAAACGCTGATCAGCTGAAGTAAGAACAGTGATAACACAAGCTAATTACCTGTGTGAGATGTGTTTGAGGCAGCTCCACATGATCTCGCCGCCCATGGAGAAGCCCATGAGGTAGAACTTGGGGCCCAGCTGCAGGTTGTCGGCGAGCTCCTCGATGTCCAGGGCGATGCTCTTCTCTGTACTTGCCAGGTTTGGGTCGCTCTCGGCGTACCCCGGCCGATCGAAGGACAGCTGGTAAATGCCCAGCTCTTGCGCCAGCTCCTGCACCAGTTTCAGTCTCAGTCCATGATATGATCATCATGATCATGTATCACTATGCTCTGAAATCTGAAACATAACTAAATACACTGTATTCTTCCCCCAGTTTCAAGATATACCGTAAATGACTAAATGTTAATACTTTGGAACGGAGGGAGTAGTTTTTAACCAGACTGTTTAAAGTGTTCAGACTTGAAAAATGAACAAGATAGGTAAGTGCCAGTATCTTTACCGGGGAAATAGGGAGTGCATCGTATCTGCACGAGTCGAAACCATGAACAAAGATGATCTTGTACTTGGCCTGCTCCTTTGGAACGCCGGACTCCAGGTAGGCCAAATACCTACCGTCTTTGAGCCGTGTTCTTGTCCCTGTAATCGGAGGGCCACCCGGGGAGCCGCAGATCTTCGGAGGCGGAGGCTGGAGCTGACTGTACAGCAGCGCCGGCAAGAACACGGCCAGAGCTAGAATGAGCTTCCTTACTGAAAGTGATACACAGGTAACATGTCAAACTGACACTGTGTCACGATATCCATTTTCCACTACGTAACTAGGAATTGGTTTGAAAATTATGCACTGAACAGGAAAAAACCTGATGAGCAATTTTAGTTGATTTGTGTTGCAGCTTTGAATAGACTGTACAGCTGTACTTTTATGTGAGTTGAAGAGATACGTCTATTTCTGAACTTAGGCTTTCAGTTAAATTAAAGATCAGCGTAAAAAAAACTAAATTAAAGATGATAGGCTTAATCGAATTGCAATGATATATTGACATCTGTATTGAACTGCTTGCAAACCAAAACTACCAATACATCCTGATCCTTGATAGTTCCTAGTCAACCGTGTCGTCAGAGCTCCCAAATAGCAAAGAGGCCCTCATGGCCTCATCAGTTTATCAGATATTCAGACTTCTATTAAATATTCCAGTAAGGAGAATATCCCAAACAATTGACAGATTCCTAAAGTCTACTATAACTACTTGCATATGTTACCCAAGAAGAAGATAAATAGCAAAGGACAAAGCAACATAGCATGTGAGCTCGGACCGTCAGTCTATATAATATAGCGCACGTTCATCTTCACCCATAGTCAAATCAACCGCCACATGGACTAAACAACTAATATATGTTCGAATAATCCATACTCCCTCGGTCCATAAAAAAAATGAGTTTGCTATTTCATTCCTATCTTTCAAGTTTTGGTCCGTAACATCTTATATCAGAATTTATTTTCTTGCATACCCAACTTATAGTTATACTCAGTTACATATCACTTACACCCAGGTACATATAACCTACATTCAGGTAAAGTGCACAAAAAATAGATTTTACAACAATTTTTCTCTCTAGATTTACTAATAGGAGTATATAATGTATTATTCATATTCATCGTATTAGATATGTTATATCTTGCACTAGGCTTACTTATACAACGAATGAAGTATACAACAAGAGGATCAATAATGTACTGCATGTTTTTTCATACCACAACAAGGCGACATAACAAAGAAAATTCAATATTCTTTTAATGATACATACAGGTTGTCTAACACTACTAACAGACAAATGATCTGCTCATGCAGATCAATAAATCATGATACTTACTCATTCTGTCGCAAAAATAACCTAACCTAATTTAAAATAAGACACAATCTATTACGATGAATCTGTTGTAGCTTACAGCTGTTCAAGTGAATGATGATCAGGCACAGAGTTAACATGTGGCCAGTCCAAAAATGACGCAAATATTAAGGAAGAACATAATATCAAATAATTAGAAGGGGTGAGGCTTCGAATCCAGATTGTCTAGCCCACCACCTTGTGAAGCTAGCCAGAAGATCTATGGGCGTTTCTCAACATGTGGCCAGTCCAAGGACTAAAACATACTACTTCCGTCCTAGAAAGACTGTAGTTTTACACTATTTATATCTAACATTTGACCGTTCGTCTTATCTAAAAAGAAAATTTGATTAGTATTTTTATTGTTATTAGATGGTAAAACATAAATAATATTTTATGTGTGACTATTTTTTTAATTTTTTCATGAATTTTCGAAATAAGACGGATGGTCAAATGTTGGATACGGAACATACAACTACACTTAAAATATACAACTACACTTAAAATGGGACAGATGTAGTACAATACTAATTCACTATCCTATCAAGTCACAATCAACTGCATGGATCATTCGGTTCAGTTCTAGAGTCAAAAGCGCACACCTTTTGTACCTCTACAGCTGAGAAAATGTCAAGAAGAACACACCAGGCCTTGTTTAGATCCAAACTATTTATTCAAACTTTCAACTTTTTTATCACATCAAAACTTTTCTACACACACAAACTTCTAACTTTTCCGTCACATCGTTCCAATTTCAACCAAACTTCCAATTTTAGCATGAACTAAACACACAGCTAATTTCTTCCTTTGGAAATAGCAAAAAAATCTACTTATGACTTCTTCGATACATATCTGTAAAGAAAATACATGGTCACCAAGATTGATAAAGCTGACAGTGGCAGAAATATGTACTGCTAAAAAAATGTAATAAAAAGAACATCGAAAGGAAAGTGAATTTAATATTTCATTATCTAAAAAAATGACTTTAAAATATTGTAGCGAGGGATAATTGTAAAAACACTTTGCAGATTAATTAGTAGAGTCTGAAAGCATGATGACGGCTCCCGCAAAGAAAATGATGTTGGGATAAAGATGTTCCAAAAAAGATTAACCATAGGACTTGGAGTATCATTTTATCAGCATGTAAGAAAGTTTAGAGCAAAACTAAACAAATAATATCAACTTGGAATGCCATTTTCAGGCCCAAGTTCATCACTCCATCCATAGTCAACTCGGTCCCCCACGTACATACATGGACTAATCAATAAGGTGATGTGCAATGGTGGTCATAAATAATACTCCTACTAGTAGCTTGTTCCAGTTTGTTGAATAATCAACAGGTACTGCTACGAACTGCAGATCAAGATCTAATCGAGTGTGCTCGTCCAAGAGTCTGGAGGCGTGATTTGCGATCGTACCTCTCGGCACCTCCTCCATGTTCAGCTCGAAGATAACAAACAATTTTCCTAGCCGGGTAAGTCAGTAACCACAACCAGATCTTTCTATCTAATAAGAAGTTCTCTAAAATGAACAACTGCAAAGATATCACGTATTTGTCGCACTCTCAATGGCCAAGAAAGCACTTCGGCCAAGCAGAGCAGCACGATAAAACCAAAGCTAGAAAAAAAAAGGCGAGTTACTTTGAGCAGAACACATATACACAAAGACATGTTTGCTCTAACAATTCTGTTGTTTCTTTTCGAGACAATGAACAATTCCGTCGGTTGACGCTCTACCTCGAGCAAAACCAATTCACAGCCACTAGCCTGCCCGTAGAAAACGAACAGACGACTAGCTTTTGCCACCGAGCAAAACTCGCAAAATCAAACCGTAGTAGCACAAGAACAAGCACTATCAGCAGGAGCAGAGAACCAACCGGCCGCCCAAACACGAGCCTGAAGAAAGACACGCGCATACAGAGAACTAACGAGAGAGAGAGAGAGAGAGAGAGAGATTGCACGCACCGCCGGAGGAGGCCGGGGCCGGCCTCGGTGGCCGCTTCACGCCGGAGGCCGCCATGCGGCGGTTGCCAAGGCCAGCAAAGGCAGCAAGCGATCGAGTTCGCGAGGGAGTGGGAGAAGAGAGGAGCCAAGCAACAGCAACAACGGCGAGTCCACAGTACACGGCCGGGCAGTGGCTTTTATGGACGGCGGCCCGGGCGCTCCTGTGCCGACGTGCACCGCTGTCACGTATCAGTGCATAGGCCACTGTGGGGCCCAAGAGACAGGGCCCAGGAAAATCACGTGGGGCCAGCGGCGTTAATGCCAAGAAGTCATCGTCTCTGCTGGGCGCAGGAAAAGAAGCCGTGGCAGAAGCAAACAGCAGGTCGGCGACGGCGTCAGCAGCACCAGGTATCGACGTTGTGGCAGAAAATCCTTTCCACTTTAAACGTCTGTGAGTCAGATTAGTCTGATAGGCTTATCCGCATCGGCTTTATTAATATTCGTGGCCTCATGATTTGCCCAGGTTTTAAAACTTTATTTTATTTTTATTAAGTATTTTAGCGTGGTTTTTTCAAACTTTTAATCGTTCCGGTTATAATTATTATTGAGTAGTTAATAAATCGTTCTGATTTATAATTAGTTTTTGGTTTATCAATACTCCATTTGTTCTAAAGTAAGCTAAACTTGTACGGGACGTGACACGTAAAAATATGCTATATTCTGTTATATTCTATATGAGATTGATTTATTTTGAGAACAGACGAAGAAGTTTGTTACGGCTAATAAATCGTTTGGTACGCCAGTAGGCGGTAGCAGCTGCACATAGCTCATGCCCCTCGTCATCTCCGAGCAGCAAACCGGCGACGGCACGATGGCGTCGGGAGTGCTATTGGCAACCGAGGAACAGGTGGGCGGCCGTGGGAAGTTCGTGGTAAGATGACCCAAGTTTTGCTAAGCGAGTTTGGTAATCAAGCGGATGTTTGTTTATTGGGAATGTAGCACGGAGGAGGTAAGAAGGATTGTCGTACATGGCGATCCCGTTTGTTATAGTATTTGAGATGCCGGACTGAAGGTAGACCAATTGCTTGCTTCTTGGTGCCGTACTGCCGTGACCGGGAAACCGTCCGACGAGCTCGGAATTTGGGAGAAGCCGACGGGATACACTAGTGGCTCCTTTCAAATTACGAGATCGCCAATAATTAACACCAGATTTTGACGAGAAATAAAATAGTAAAATTTGATACCACTTTTTTTTAAAGGGACACCTGCTGGTACAAATTCTGGTCCGTGAGAGATTCGGAGTACTAAATGTACTTGATTAACTTTTCGACGGAGTTGATAAATCTCGTACGGCTAAAATTAATACTCCCTCTGTCTTATATATTTTAATATAAGGAATTTTAACTTTTTGCTTGTACTGTTTGACCACTCGTCTTATTTAAAAATTTTGTGTAAATATAAACATAAAAAGTTGTGCTTAAAGTACTTTGAATAATAAAATAAGTCACAAATAAAATAAATAAAAGTTGTGCTCAAAGTACTTTGGATAATAAAATAAGTCACAAATAAAATAAATAATAATTCCATTTTTTAAAAAATAAGATGAGTGGTGGCACAGTGCAAGCAAAATGTCAAAATCAATCCCTTGTATTATGGGACGAAGGCGTCGAAGGGAGTATATTTTTTTCAACCAGACCGTTGAAAAATCGGGAAAAGATAAGTAGCACTTAATTATTCGGAGAACGCCCAGTTCTGCAGTTTTTTCAATGAGGGCTGCTACCCCACGGGATACCGTGGAAATAGTGCACTCACGGGATAATTAAAAAAGCACCGACAACATAAAGGAGCACCCTGCAGAACACGTGATTTGTCTCGATACCTAGCCACCGCCTGCTCGTGGTATTGTTGCCGGAGCAGCGGCTACCTTACCTCGCCGGCGTCATCGCCGCCCTTGAGCACCTAGAGTAGAAGCTACCTCACGCGCCATACCTCGCCGGCGTCGTCGCTCCTGAGCACCCAGAGTAGCAGCTACCTCACCGCCATATCCTCATGGTACCTTGGGTAAGGTACCGAGGTGGTACCTAGTACATTGGTATCGGCTGGTACCTGGTACCCTGGTATCGACTGATACCTGATACCCTGGGTATCGAGCTGGTACCTAGGTATCAGGCCACCTGGTACCCTAGGTATCGAGCTGGTACCTAGGTATCAGGCCTTGGTACCTGGGTATCAGTGTGATACCCCAAGAGAGAGAAGGAGGAGGAGTCGCGGGTCGGGGAGGTCGAGCAGCGGGGCGGCGACGGAGGAAGAGGAAGAGGAAGTGACAGATCTGGTGCCTACCTTGTGCCATTCCGTCGTTCATTGACGTGCCTCGCTCCAAACCGCCAAACCCGTGGCTCCATTGACGCCGCCTAGAGCAGCTCCTCATCGCTCATGTTGTGCCAAAGCACTCGCCCCCGATGGCCGCGTCCACCGCTCCCCGGCCGTAGGAGGCGCCAGCGCCGCCGAGGAGGAGGGCAGTAGCGGCGAGGAAGCTAGCGGCAAGAACAACGAAGAGGAGGAGCGGCTTGAGGAGCTTGAGGGGGAGGCTTCTCGACGGCGGCCGTCGCCTGTGGCGGTCGGGAGCCCCGCCGGCTGTCGTCCAGGTCGTCCGCGGGGGCTGGTGGTGATGGCACCGTTGTCGTCGTCGCTGTCGCCACCGTCGTCGTCGTCGTCGCCATTGTCATCGTCGCCTTCGTGCTCATGGTGGGTAGTCAGAGAGAGAGAGAGAGCGAGTGGAGGGGAAGAGACAGAGAGAGAGAGAGAGCGAGCGAGTGGAGGGGAAGAGAAGGAGATAAGGTAGTAGTACTATTCCGTCGCCACGGAACACCGTTTAGTAGTTTTTTCTGTTTTTCAATTCAACTGGTTCGGATTCATTAGATCGTTCTCTCAATTATAAAGCTTTCGAAGCTTTTAAAAAAGAGTGTAAAAAGAACAGTAACCGTGAAGCTTTCAGAGGGAGAAAAACATAGTGGGAAGCTTAAAGGCAAAAAATCAAAAGGAAAATAAAGCAAGAGAGCAACACGGTCCAAAACAAACCAATTACTCGCCCAAGTCCTCTGTGTGGGGCTACTGTACGAGCAGTATCTGCCAGGCAAAGACGATTAGAAGAGCAGTGCCCAAGGCCCTAACATCCTCTGCAGATCCCCGATCCGCCAACATCAATCAGACATACTCCTACTCACTTCGTCAAAAAAAAAAAAACTCAAGGAGTACCATCAATCCATCTCAAAAAAATTCAAAAAGGGAAGGGAAAAAACAAACCCAAGAGCAGGAAGTGTGAAAGAGATGACTTGAGGCCTGACCGACCGCGAAAATAGAAGCCCGGCCCATAGTGGTCTCATTGCAGATGTCTACATCTACATTCCTATCGACGATGGGTACTGATGATAATGCAAAGTTGAGGTTGAGTTTCCATGTGCCGCTATCTGTTCTTTTTCTATAACAAAAGCAGGTCCAAAACTAGACCGATTCTCGCGTTCCAGATTATAAGCCTTGTCTTATGAAGAACCTGCAATTAACGAGGATCAGTGGCAGTTGAACTCAACAAGCAAGCTACCTCATCACTGCAGCCAGTAGGAAAACAAGTTCACCGCATGATGCACTTCAGGTGAGCCAATAGGAAAACAAGACGTTGATAAACTATCCAGATATCGGATGAAAAATTCAGTGAAGATACAACCACAACAGTATAATCAACGAACTGCTTTTCTTTTACTGACGACCGGCCGATTAACTACGCTGTCAATGCCAGCAATATGTACTTAACGAAGCACCAAGAAACGCACTCCACATTGGTGAACGGGGAGGACCAGAGTTCGAATCAGGATCAGGCCTGAGGTGGCTGATCGCCGAGCAGCAGCGACTTGACGATGGTATCGGCCATCCCGTCGGCGAGCGGGAACATGTGGCCGGACTTGGGGAGCTCGTGGTAGACGACCCAGGGCAGCTTCTCGCTTAGGTACCTGGACAGGCTGACCGGCACGATCAGGTCCTCGGCGCCGTGCCACAGGTGCACCTTCCCTTTGCCGCCGGCGAACGGGTCCTCGAGCTCCAGCGGGCTCCAGCTCCACTTCCCGAATCCGACCGTCATGTCGCGGTGCAGGCAGCTGTACTCCCCCTGCTGCCTTATCTGCGGCTGCGACGACGACGACAACGACAACGACAACGACACGCAAACCGATGAGCAAACGCTAGTTACAACTAAATATGCAACGCAAGTGATGAAGCGATCCGGTGATCCTTACCATGTAGGTTCGGAAGGCGAATTTGGGCATGATGAGCTTGTCTTCCTCAGAGAGGAGGGCCGGGTTGTAGGCGATGACGCTGGAGGCAGGGAAGAGCTTCTGGGAGTTCCACCAGTAGGTGAGCCACGGCAGGTGGTGGGAGACCCAGACCGCCCACTTGTCCTGCGGGAGCTGCTGGTTCCAGGCGTGCCACGACACGTTCGACGGCAAGCCGGACCACCAGTAGTTGCCCACGGGGCCAAGAATGGCCACCCCGGCGAGCCTGCATGAATAAACACATTGGTCAGAATTCAGAAACAAGCAGTCCTGCACTCCTGCCATAGATTTTCCGGAGATGAAAATGGTGATCGACTCTACCTGTGTGAGATGTGCTTGAGGCAGCTCCACATGATCTCTCCGCCCATGGAGAAGCCCATGAGGTAGAACTTGGGGCCCAGCTGCAGGTTGTCCGCGAGCTCCTCGACGTCCAGGGCTATGCTCTTCTCTGTACTTGCCGGGTTTGGGTCGCTCTCGGCGTACCCCGGCCGATCGAAGGACAGCTGGTAAATGCCCAGCTCTTGCGCCAGCTCCTGCACCGGTTTCAGCCCATGACATGATCATCACAATTCATCATGATCACAGATCACTTCTATTCTGAAGTCTGAACATAACTAGATGCACTGTAGTTTTAACCAGACTGTCCAAGTGTTCAGTCTGATCACAAAGGAACAAGTGCAGTGTATTTACCGGGGAAATTGGGAGAGCATCGTATCTGCACGAGTCAAAACCATGAACAAAGATGATCTTGTACTTGGCCTGGTCCTTTGGGACGCCGGACTCCAGGTAGGCCAAATGCCTACCGTCCTTGAGCTGTGTTCTTGTCCCTGTAACCGGAGGGCCACCCGGGGAGCCGCAGATCTTCGGAGGCGGAGGCTGGAGCTGCTGGTACACCAGCGCCGGCAAGAACACGGCCAGAGCTAGGATGAGCTTCCTCACCATACCTGTGAAAGTGATGCAGGCAACAATGTCAAACTCTGATGCTGTGTGGCAAGACTGGCGATAATATCCATTTAATTTCCACTCTGTAACTGGGTATTGTTTTGAAAATTTTGCACTGAATAGGAAAAAAGTCTAATAAATAATTTTTATGTTGGTTCATTTTGCAGCGCTGAATAGGCTATACTTTTATGTGGGTTCAAGAGATAAGTCTATTTCTGAACTTAGGATTTCACCCAAATTAAAGATGATATAGCTCGCTTAATCAAATTGCAATGACACAATACATGCAATTTGTATTGATTGCTTGAAAACCAACACAATAAAAATACATCCTGACATCTGTATTGAGTCCTTGTGGGTAGAGCTTCCATATACTAGCAAAGAGGCCGTCATCAGTTTGTCAGATATTCATACATCTATTAAATATTCCAGTAAGGGAAATATCCCAAACAATTGACAAGTTCTTAAAGTCTAGAAGGATAGCTAGTGATAAGAGATCCCAAACAAATAATTAACTACACGATGTGCATCTCTTACCCTAAGAAGAGGATAAATAGAGAAGGACAAGCAACGTAACATGGTATCATGTGAGCTCGGACTTTGTCAGTCTATAGCTCACGTTCATCTTCATCCATAGTCAAATAAATCCCCCCACGTGGATTAAATAATTAATATAGGCTTGAACGTTCCATATGCAACAAGAGTATCAGTGATATATTCTACAACGTTTTTTTCATTCCACAACAAAGCAGCGTAACAAAAAAAATTAAATCTTCTTCTAATATGACGCATACATGTTGTCTAAATACTAACAGAGAGATAGTCTGCTCAGTGACGGATCAAAAAAAAAAAAATCAGGCGAGACTATAAATGAACGGCTAGGTACAGAGTTATCATGTGGTCAGTCCGAAGACTAAAATGTACACCCCTTTCATAATTCACTATCCTATCAAGTCACGATCAACCCCATGGATCATTCAGTTCAGTTCTAGAGTCAAAACCACTCACCTTTTGTGCTTCTACAGCTGAGAAAATGTGAAGAACACACAGCTAATTTCTTCCTTTGGAAAATAGCAAAGGATCTACTTATGACTTCTTCGATACATATTTGTAAAGTAAACACATGGTCAGTTGGTCACCAACATTGATAAAGCTGGCAGGGACAGAGATATGTACCGCTCGAAAATTTTATGTACAGATGGTTGAAACATAAGATTGGATAGCCAATAAAAAAGAGATGGAAAGGTAAGTGACTTTAAAATATGGGGCAATTGTGTTTCTGCCCTTGCTTTACGATTCAATTGTGATTTTACCCTTGTTTTTTAAGGTTTGTGATTTTGCCCCTGCTTTTTTGAAATGAAGGAGCCGCCTGCCCCTACTCTGTTAATTAGTGGTAACGGTGTTAAATATGTGGTGAATAGACAAACATACCCCTGGACATGTTTTGGTATACACACTGGATATGTTTCAAGTTATTTTTGTGCCAATTTCATATAAACGATGACAGAACACAGTTTATAAAGTAGTACATACTTATTACATATGATTGCAACATTGCACAAGATCAAGGTCCTTTATATTGGGTAAGCTACAGAAACAAGATTGAATCACAAGCATGGCGTAGCAAATCAAGAACCCCAACTTCATTATCTAGAAAAGAAAAAAAAATCAAGAACCCCAACCTGCGTTCGGTTCTGGGTCCGCGGATGTGGATGAACTAAGGTGGCGGGCTCCGGCTTGGAGGAGGAGGAGGCCTCCACCGCTGCCTGTATGGCGCCGACGGTGACATCTCTGAGCCACCTGACGTTGCCTCGGAGGGTGGAAGCCGTGGAGCTCCGGTCGACGAACGCCGGAAGCCACAGGAGAAGGCCCGCGCCCGCGGCTCCGTCGGCTGGACGACGTGCTCCCCGGCGGTGTTGTCGATGAGGGAGGGAGTCGCGGTCGCGACGTCGTCAAGCTTCCTTTAACAGCGCCATCCCGCCGCCAAGCTTCCTGCTCGCTGCCTGCTGCTCGCTGTCCGACGGAGCCGCCGCTCCTCTCCGCCGTGCGTTGGCCGCCGCGCCTCCCTGCGCGTGGCATCCGCGTCGCGCATCCCTGCGCGCTGTCCTCGGTGGGCGCCACGCCTCCCTGCCCCGCGCGCCCACCGGTCCTCCACCGCGCCTCCCTGCCCGCGCCCGACTCCACCGACTCCGCCGCGCGCTGGCCCGCGGCAGCTGCCCCGCGCTGCCGCCGCCGCCGCCGCTTGCAACCCAGCTATAGCGTTTGGAGTGGAAATCGGGAGTTCGGGACATGGATTGGGGATTTGCCTCTTTCATTGAAGGGTAGAATGGTCATTCACAAATGATAATAACATTTTGTTTCACCATTTAATTCTAAAATTTCGGGCCCACCAAACTTCTGTCAAAACCAGGGGCAGACGACTGCTTCATTTCAAAAAAGCAGGGGCAAAATCACAAACCCTAAAAAACAAGGGTAAAATCACAATTAAATCGTAAAGCAAGGGCAGAAACATAATTGCCCCTTAAAATATTGTAGTGAGAATAATTATAAGAACACTTTGTAGATTAATTAGTAGAGTCTGAAAGCATGATGACGGACAAAGATGTAAAAAAGAAGGATTAATCATAGGACCTGGAGTGTCATTTTATCCGCACTTAAGAAAGCTTATCAGTACTTATAGAAAGCTTATCAGTACTTAAAGAAAGCTTAGAGCAAAACAAAATAAACAATATCAACTTGGAGTGTCATTTTCAAGCACAAGTTCATCACTTCATCCATAGTCAACTCGGTCCCTACGTGCATACTCCTTCCGTCCCAAAATAAACAAACATCGTGATAGGATGTGACACATCATAGTAACGAGTCTGAACACGTAGAATATCCAGATTCGTTGTATTAGGATGTGTCACAATTTAGTATGAGGTTGGTTTATTTTGGGACGGGTGGAGTACATGGACTACTCAATAGGGGGTGATGTGCGATAATGGTCATACATACTCTCTACATCCCATTTTAAGTGCGGTTGTGAATTTCTGTGTCTAACTTTTGACCGTCTATATTATTTAATTTTTCTATGATTAGAATTTTTATTGTTATTAGATAATAATAAAACATGAATAATACTTTATACGCGACTTACTTTTTATTTTTTATAAAATTTTTAAATAAAACGGACGGTTAAACGTTGGACAGAAACCCGTTTAAAATGAGACGGAGGGAGTAATCACCAGGAACAGGTACGAATTACAGATCAAGATCTACGCGAGTACTCGTCCAAGAGCCTGGAGGCGTGGTTTGCGATCGCACCTCTCGGCACCTCCTCCTTGTTCAAATGTTCAGCCCGAAGCCCGAAGGTAACCTAAACAATTCTCTTAGCCGGCCAGCCGGGCAACCGAATCTTTCAAGGGAAAAAAAACTAAAATGAACAAGTACAAAGGTATCACGTTCGCTCTCTCAATAACAAAGAAAGCACTTAAGGCCAAGAAGAGCAACACGATAAAAACAAAAGGGCGCAACAAAAAGGTGAGCAACTTTGAGCAGAACAAATACTCCCTCTGACCTCTGTTCTTAAACAAAATCATGCCTAGCATCCCCCGAGGCAACTTAGTAGTAGAAAGGAAAAAAAAGTCTTCCATTAATAGAAAATTGGGTGGGTGGGAAGTAAATATTATACCAGAGATAAAATTTTCGATTCATACACTGATAGAGATGAAATTACTCCCTCCATCCTAAAATATAGCAACTTCTCTGCTACTTTTTTTCCCTCAATCAATTACAATCATTCCCGGTATACTTTCTCATCTCAATTGATCATAACAATTTATTTTCAAATCTCAATTTCTTAACTCCACGTAAAATTTCAAAACTACTTGTATTTGGGATTAATTTATTTTGAAACAAAATTTAAACTTCAAAAATCCCTTACTTTGGACAGATGGAGTATATAAAAAAAGACATGTTTTGCTAAACTCAAAATACGCCCTCTGCTCTAACAGTTCTGTTGGTTGAAGCTCTACTCCTCTACCTCGAGCAAAACCAATTCACAGCCACTAGCTGCCCGTAAGAAACGATCGAACGGATGACTAGCTTTGCTACCGAACAAACTGTGGCAAAATCAAACCGTAGCAAACCACAAAAGCAAGCACGAGCAGGCGCAGAGATCCAACAATCGTCCGCACAGACACGAGCCAGGAGAAAGACGCATACAGAGAGCTAACGCCGGAGAGACCGATCGAGAGAGAGAGAGAGAGAGAGAGGGGGTTGCACGTACCGCCGGAGGAGGCCGGGGCCGGCCGCGGTGGCCGCTTCACGCCAGACGCCGCCATGGATCCCCTGCAGCGGCGGCGAGGGGCGAGGAGCGAGTTCCGCGAGTGGGAGGAGAAGAAACTCCAGCTGAAGCTAACTCCGCGCGAGCCAGCAACAAACGACGGCAGTGGCTTTATGAACTTCCCGCTGTGTGCCGACCTGCACGGCGGTCACGTTGGGTTAAAACCCCAGCATAGTCCACTGTATGGGGCCCACGAGACAGGGCCCAGAGAAATCGCGTGGGGGCCACTGGCGTTAATGCCGAGAAGTCGTTGTCTCTGCTGTATTTTATGGTGTGAGCACAGGAAAAGGAACCGTGGCAGAAGCAAACAGCAGCTCGGCGACGGCGTCAGCAGCTCAGTATCGACAATGTTTCAGAAAATCTTTTTTTTTCACTTTAAAAAAATGGTTCTGAGTCAAAATTACGTGGCCAACCTGATAGACTTGTAGGTGCATCAGTTTCAGTTTCAGTGGTGTTCATTTCTACTGAAAACAGAGATAAAGTTAAGAAAAAAAAATTAAAAAATATTATTAAATGATTAATTGAATTTTAATTTTTATAAACTTATAAAGTAAATTTATCTGATATTTCAAAGCAATTTTTCTATAAAAAGTTTTCACACGAAATGTAACGTTTAGCAATTAAAAAATATGCTAAAGAAAACCAAGGTAAAACCTATCATAATTAGAAAAAAGACCATCTGCCCATGCCAAATCCAGCGTTTGGTACGCAGGCTAGCAGCAATTCATAGCTCATGGCCCTCGTCATCTCCGAGTGGCAAACAACGGCAGCCACCGGCACGATGCCGCTGGGAATGCCATCGGCGACCAAGGAGGCAAGGAGCAGGTGGGCGGCCGTGTGAAGTTCGTGATGGACATGTTTAGTAACTAAGCGGTTGCCTGATTACTTGGAAATGGACATGACCTCGTACTAGGCGATCTCATTTGGCCTTTGGGACGCCGGACTGAAGGTAGGTCGAGTGTCTAGTTCTTGGTGTCATGACCGGGGAACCGTCCGAAGAACTGGGAATTTGGAAGAATCCGACGGAATATAGTTCTGATACGAATTCATTTTTCGAAGGGACACCTGGTACAAATTCTGGTTCCTGAGAGATTCAGAATACCAAATTTTGATACGAATTCCTTTTTTAAAGGGACACCTGGTACAAATTCTGATACGAAGTACGGAGTACTAATTCTAACTTAATTATTACTCTTTTAAAAGGAGTTGAGAAATCTCGGAGGGCCAAAATATTTATCTGGCCGGGCCGTTGAGAAATAAGGAAAAAGATAACAGCATATGTAGCACCTTGATTATTCGTGGAACCACCAGTTCTACAGTTTTTCAATTTGAGTGGTTCGGATCCATAACGATCGTTATCTCAAGTACAATGAGTCGATTACCTTTCCAAGCTTTTCATGAAAAGAATGTAAAAGGAATAGTAACCGTAAAGCTCTCCGAGGGAGAAAAACATAGTGGAAAGCTTAAAGGCAAAATCAAAAGTAAAATAAAGCAAGAAAGCAACACAGCAATTCACATCCAAAACAAACAAATTACTCACCCAGCCAGGACGGGCACAAGTGCGCAAGTTCACTGTGGTTTGTGGGGGGACGTTTTGATAGCGTACCGTTTGATTTAGGCCGCTCATACACGATCGGATGGCTGAGACTGAGACTGGTCATCTGACTCACCTATCAGGATTCAATCTCAAAAAAGGAAAAAGAGAAAAAGAGTATCAGGTATTCATCCTCTTCTGTAAACTACTTTCACTATTTTAAAATATAAACAAATCTAATAGAAACGTGATACATGCCAATACTATAAATCTGAATAGTATCACGTCTCATATTGGATTTGTTTATTTTGAAACGAATAAAAATTAAAAAGCATCAAGCCAAGAGACAGGAGACTAGAAAATACTGTAGAGAAAGATTAGGCGACACAGTAATACGAAAGGCATGCTCGAGTCTCAACCGCGAGGCAGGAATCCCGGTCCATGTTGGTCTAATTACAGTTGTCTACATCTACAACCCTATAATTGTCAGCTAATAATACAAACACACCGAAAAAGTAGAACACGATGAGTAGGGGCAAAACCGAGGTTGAGTTTCTGCATGACTTTATCTCATGTATTTTTTTTACCAGAAATAAAAATTCAAAACTAGGCTGATTCTTGTTCTACCATTCCAGAGTACAGCCATACCTTGTGAAGAACCTGCAATTAACGAGGATCATAGGCAGTTGAACTCAACAAGCAAGCTACTTCGCCATCCTTGCAGCTTGCAAACGAAGCACAATCAGATGAAAAATTGAGTGAAGATACAACCACAATCGTATAATCCTGCTTTCTTTTTCTTGAGATTGCCACTTACCAGAGCCAATGGCAGACTATAGCGTCGATTGCCAATTTCTGACGACTTCTTACTAGACAGCTAAAGGTAATGAGGTATCAGGTATGACAAACAAGGATTAAAATCTCCGGATATGCCCTTTAGCTGCTAGGCTTTCCATCAGCTACGACCAGCTATAGCTGGCTATAGCGGCAGCTAAGCCCATTAGCTGTTTTGGAAAAACTAACATAAATTTTGCAATTCTCATACAGTTCAAAGAGTCAAAGACACTTGATATTACATTCAATAGTTCCATACCACATTCAATATCCGAGAATCATATAAAAATCTTGCACATATCTTGTTAGGAAAACTAGAGAAGAATGGGGAGAGATTTGTGCAGCCCAGCAGTCCCCGCCGTCTTCGGCACAACCGTCACGTTCGCAGCTTGGGGAAGAATGGAGAAGTATGGGGAGGGAGGGATTGGTGCAGCTGCCGCCCAACACAGCCGCCGCCGCCGCCACTTGGTGCCGGGATTGGCACAGCCCCGCCTCTAGGCGTCGCCGCTGTGGCCTCCACGTGGAGCTGCAGTCGTCGTTGCTGCAGGTCAGAGTCGCCGTCGCCGCTGCAGGTTGCAGGCTTGCAGCCGCCACCGTTGCCTCCGGGTGCAGCCGCCGCAAAGCTGCTGTGCCTTTTTTCGAGGGGGGAGGGTGAGAGACGGAGTGATTGAGAGAGAGAGATAGAGTTAGGGTTGAACTACTGCTATATGGACCTATATGGGCTGTTGTTTAAATTTAGGCCTTCAGCCCACCAAGTTAGCTGCCGCTATCTAAGGGCCCATTTAGCAGCTATAGCCAGCTAAGAGCAGCTAATAGCGCCATAGAATGTGTAGTTGTAAATTGGACATATCTTAGCGGTTGCTTCTCCTAGCAGCTATCTCTAGCTATAGCGGCAGCTATAGCCGGAGATTTAAATCCATGATGACAAATACAAACACGATGGCTTGGAAAGAAAGTGGAAAATATGGAAATCAAACATCATCAAAGCAGAACACTCGGTCATTTTCAGTTGTTTAACCATGCCATTCCGGCCATGTCAGAAAAGTTTCAAGAAGAAACCATAGTTCAACTGTTTGGAAGGCTACAAAAGCTTTTCTGGAATCACATTAACAGGGAGTACTGAAACATGGCACAATTTAAAGCACAAGAAACTACATCTGAAATATTTCGCTCTCACCATCACCTTTGTTCCCCTGAATGAAGGTATTCTTCTCAGGATAGCAATATGTGCATAACTTTGTTGTCATTTTTCTTTCCATGGATTTTTTTTTGTCTGTCATTGAAACAAAGTGTCTCCAGTTGTGTCAATGGTCACTATCCAAGTGCTTATAGACTATAAGAAGGAAACAAGTCATTTTTTAGAACAGATTTGCAAAGTACAAACAACTGAACAAGTAACAACAGTACAGGTAAAATCTCTCTTTCTAGAAACCTGTATAATTTAGTATTATTATAAACTTAGCTAGTTCCTCACATTACTCTTACGTACCGATTCAGTATAAAGTAATAAACCATTGTTTCAGTATGATTTCCAAAATGCAAATGGAAAGTCTAAATTTTCAGATAACAGAGGATGTCACAACTCATGGTATCCGCAGTAAGCTAATCATAGAGTAATCTAACCAAAACAATGTGTACAATATAACATTCAAAAGTACTCACGACACAAGACGATAAGAACTAATGAGCAATCAAACAAACCTATACCTTACCAAGATTTTCCATCAAATGCTGTGTTGCATCATCGACATTAAGATCTGCGTTTCGTGTATTTTACATTCTGCCTGAACCTGAACCTTTGGTCCTGATCACATGTGCAAGGTATATTTCCAAAATGCAAAACTATCATATTACAGAGGGTGTTGCAACCCACGGTAGTCACAGTAGTACAGCACCATGAGTAATCTAACCAAACAATGAATGTGTAAATTATATACCCTTTACAAGTGATCACAGCGCGTGTTTGTTATCACAATGTGTAAATTATACCCTTTACAACACAGAAATGTGGAAATGGAAGCGTCGGCAGAGGAGGCGACGGTGGCGAGAGAAGAGATGAAACTGGCAGGGGCGGACGCGGTGTGACGGCGGCATGGGGAGAGCATAGGATGGGTAGCTGTACCTTCTACTAGCTGTGATGTTCGGTCAGTGAGGAAGATGGGGACGCCGGAAGAGGAGGTGGTGGCGGCGGCGGTGGCCGCTCTGGCGGCGCTCGGCCAGAGGGTATGCGTGGTCGATGACTTAAAAGGCCGGGCCTGTTTAGATGACGAGGAGATGTGGCCTATGAACCGTATGTTTTGTTCGGGAAAGAAAGTCTATTTCCCTTCCCTCATCTATGGACCGAGTGTTTTTTTTTCTGACACGTATGGACCGAGTTTGATTTACCTTCCCATGGAATATTAGAACGGGTAAGTTTTGTCTCTCGGGCGGTTTAGTCGGCAGTTTCATCCTACGTGCTACATTAGACCTGTTTTTTTTATCTAATACGGCACCTATATGATAGAAAAATAATAGGAGGGCAACATGTAAGTGGCCACCTCATCTTTCCTTGGTTCATAGCCGACGGTGCCGCTTGAAGAGGCAGCCACACTCGGTGGAAGGTGGTGGTGGATGGTAGCTTGAGCGAGGATGGCACGATACGGGTCGGCCGCGAGAGTGTTGACATGAAATTTATCGCGACACACGAATGCCTGAAATATCTGCTTAACTCCAGTATAGGTTCTATTAATCGGGTTCCGCGTGTGCCAGTTAGGTTGATTCTACAACTAACAAG